CAGCTAAAATTCTAGCCCCTATTTTTTTATTTTAGTTATTAGTGATAATTTTTCTTTCTAATGCAAGCCTGAGAAATGATTTTAAATTAACATGGGAATTTTATGCCACACTGTTTATCAGCTAATCATTATTTTTTTGTGTGCACTAAATTTCTTTGTTTAATGTGTCATGTATTCTCGTGTAGGTTTAATTTCATTATTCTAGTTTTACTAAGTTTACATTAATGAATTACATTACATTCTTTATATCCAAATTATTCATTTGTTGTTGGTGTTCACTGTTAAAGCCAAAAAGAAGCATTTTAAACAAATGATTGGTTATTTTAATGGTGCATACATACTAGCTTCAAATTTAGTGATTGTTCTTCAGAAAATAGAGGGTTAGATCATATTTCAGTAATCCCAGGCTTTTTCAAACAGCAATTGGATTTCATGAATGGGTGCATTTGAAAATTTTTTGTGTTTCTGGTTTTCAATCTCATCACAGCAGTTTTTCTCATTCTATATTGCTTTTCCATCTGATTCAGGAAGTTGGGAGAAATGCAATGGAATTGAAATAGTTTGAGGTTTTTTTTCTAACTTCAGAAAAGTCTGGCTATAATTTCTGAGTAACTAAGTCAGTTGTTATGTCATAAAAATGATTTACTAAACTTTCTTTTTGTCACCCCAGTTTCACTACTACCTGCATGTTTACCTGTCCACAATCCTTTTCTTCATTACCTCTCTATGTATGTGATCTCACTCCTCAAGATGACTTTTTTTCCATAAATCTGCATAAAGTACTTGGAAAAAATAGAAAAAATAATATTGTTAGATATAAAACATAATATAAAATGTAACATTATAAAGATTTTAGAAAAAAAAGAACTGGAGAAGATCTTCATGATCTAGGCCTGGACAAGGGCTTCTTAGAATTGCTATAAAACATAAGGCTGAACATTTGGACTTAATCAACATTTTAAAATTTTGCTCTGCAAAAATCCCCATTAAGAAGATAAAAAGATGAGTTACAGATTGGGAGAAAATATTTGCAGAACACATATGTGACAAAAGAATGGCATCTAGAATATAAAAAGAACTCTCAAAAAACTCAGCATTAAAAAAAGCACATAAATAATGTAATTAGAAAATCTACAAAAGACATATACATATATTTCACTATGATGACATACAGATGACAAATAAACACAAGAAAAGTTGTTCAACACATTGCCATCAGGGGAATGAAAATTAAAACCACAATGAGATATCATTGCACAACTATCAGAACACATAAAATAAAAATTGGTGACAGCACCAAATGCTAGCAAAAATGCAGAGAAGCTGACTCACTCATACATTGCTGGTGAGTGCATAAAATGGTACAGCCATTCTAGGATACTATGGCTGTTTCTTATAAAACTAAGTATGCAACTACCAAACTACCCAGCAATTACCGTTCTGGTCATGCCAAAGCCTGTTCATGAATGTTCATTGCAGCTTTATTTGTAATAGACAAAAACTGGAAACAGCCCAGATGTCCTTCAATGGGTGAAATGCTAAACAAATTGTGGTACATCCACACCATGGAATAAGACTTAGCAGTGAAAAAGGAGCAAACTACTAATAGTGTAACACCTTGGATGAATATTCAGAGAATTATGTTGAGTGAAAACCACTAATCCCCAAAGGTTGCATACCATATGATTCCACATGTATAACAATCTTGAAATGACACAATTATAAAAATGGAGAAAAAGTTAGATTGTCAGGGGTTTGGAATTGAGGCGGGGGGGGCGTGGTTAAGAAATGGATGTGGTTAAACAAAAAGCAATACCAGGTATCCTTGTAGCCATGGAAATGTTCTGTATCTTGCTTATGGCTGTGGATACACAAACCCATACATGTGATAAAATTGTACAGAACTAAATACGCACACAAGCCCAGCTACATAAGTACAAGTAAAACTGCAGAAATATGAATAAGATTGGTAGATTATACCTACATCAATATTAAGCAATATTGTACTATAGATTTGAAAGATGTTTCTGTTGAGGGGAAAATGGGTAAATTGTACGTGAAATTTCTCTGTATTATTTCTTACAACTTCATATGAATCTATAAAGATCTGAAAAAAAATTAAGTTTAATTAAAAATAAAACAGAAGAAATAAGCATTCACTGAATATTTTATGGTGTCTATTTTTCCCTACATTTCCACTTCCCTATTTATTTGGTACTTAGAACTTTAGAAAGATGACTTAGCATTGTTCAGTATTTTAGAGATTGATGGGACATTTTCATCCAGAAATTTCAAATATCAGCAGATGAAATCTGAATGAGTGAACTACCCAATTTGTGGTCGCTCCACAGCAGCTATGAAAACATGCCAGCTTCCTGCCTTCTTCCAGGCCACAGGGCATTTTGCATTGTGAATGCTGAAGCAAGGCGGTGAGTTATTTCCTGAGAGTAAATTAAACCTCTCTTAAGTAGTTGATGGTCTGAAAGGAAGTCAATGCAGATAAACTCTTACTCCCAGAGTGGGGAAGCCTAGATCATTATCTTCAGGCTCAGGAAAAGATAATCTTTAAGGAAAAAGACAGTTGGTAAAACAATTAGACCTAAAGGCAACCATAAAAACAATAGATTAGAATTAATTAAAATCCTATATTAAAGAAAATTCTTTAAAGTTATAAAATTTTAGTCCAATTATGATCCAAGCCTGGAAGAACAGTATTTGCAAATGTTGGGGAAAGAGAAATATTGTCTTAAATAGCGAAAAGAAGTCCAGCGTGGCTGAAGTTTAACGTGTACGAAAGAATGATGCTGAAAAATGATGCTGGTACCATCAAGTGGGGCCACTTTATGCAGTCCTGCTGTGGAATCTGCACTTAAACACAAGGGCAATAGAGAGCTCTGCAACAGAGAGAGCTGAACAGAGAGAAAAGTGAGCATATTTGCCTTTCAAACTACCTCATCGTCGTCATTTCTCAAGTACTCCTCAGAATCTCGCATTTGACCCAATAAGTAGCTCTTCCAAAGAGCTTTTAGAATAGCCTATGAATGTGTTTCGAAACGTAAAATAGCTAGTGAAGGACTTTCTTTGAATGAATTAAAATGTCTCTGCTATATTAAATGGCTCTACAAAAGGCTTCCATGATACTCTGCTTGATGAAAAACAAGTCGCTAAGTTATACATATAGTATAATCCCATTCTTGATAAAAACAACAAAAAAACATAACCTATGTGTATTCATATATTAATATATTTGCAAAGGCAAGGAAAAACATATGAAAAACAGAAACGTATTAGTGGTGATTACATAAGGAAATTGGGAATCAATGAGAGACGACAAATTTTAGTTCAGCCACATCAACGTTTTCTGAGCAGTTGAATATATAAGCTTTACCCATGAAATCCAAATGAAGGAAATACATGAATTGAGTGAAACAAATAGCACCACTGTCCAAGAGAAATGTACTGCAAATTACAAATGCAAGCCACAAAGGTATTTTTAAATCTTGTGGTAGCTCCATTAAAAAGTTAAAAGAAATGTGGAACTAATTTCATTAGTATATTTTAACCCAATGCATCCAAAATGTTCTCATTTCAACATGTAACCAATATAAATATTAATATTTTACATTGTTTTCATACTAAGTCTTTGAAATCTGGTGTGTGCTTTACACTTACAACCACATTTCAAGTGCTTAGTAACCGTATGCAGATAGTACCTATGATGTTGGACAGGGCAGCTCTAATGGAAACTGATGGTTTTGCTACTGGTGAATTTCTCTGGCAATGAAGTGACAGCCACACTCTTTGTCAGCTCAGTGACAGCATGGCCATATCTAGCCCTGGTCCCATGGTCTCAATCTTGGTTCTGCTTCATATTTTCCAGCTCTATCATGTTTCAGTTAAGAAGGTTTAATATTAGTCAATACATTTTATTATTACCAGTGTGCACATAGAATTGTCACAAAATCAACAGCTTGAAGTGAAAGTACTGAACAGTGTATTTTTAGAAAACAGTAAGAAACCAGCTTTAAAAAAAAAATCTGTGAACACAATTTTGTAGGGGAAAAATGGTAATATGATATTAACTCAGAATTTTAGCCATTGAAAATTTGAACGACTATAAATATTTTCTACTGAAGGAGAGGGCAAAGAAGAAATCATTCCACAAAAATAAGAATTCATTAGCCAAGACTTTTATGACCTGGTATCTTATCAGAATATCTAGATGAAGAGTTTTTTCTTTAAGCTCCCACTCAACCACCGAGTAGCTGGGTAAATTTGAAAATTGCCATAAATGCCCTGAGCCTTAGTTTCTCCAGTTATATATGGAGAACTAATATTTAATACGGTTTTCAAACTTTAAAAAAGTCACGTGATAACACTATATAAACAAAATGCCTTGTAATATATTGTGAAATAATTAGAATAAAATTTTTGAAGTTGAATTTATGGAGACTACCACCTATTTTAAATTTCTAAATTCTACAGTTACTGGACAGTCTGAATTTTGGAGACTATAGGACAAGAAAAAAATACAATAAGGCTAAACTGAAGAAATAATTTTCAAAATGGGGAAATATAGTCATAAACTTGGCTTTTAAAAAATTTGAGTCATTGTAAAACCATCCATGTGTCATACTTACGGAGACACATGGATGGTTTTCGCTAGGCTGATTTTTTGGGTTACTACCTAAACTGTTGAAACTGACAGATGTCTAAACTGTAGAAATTCTGCTGCAAACACAATGTGCAAAATAAATGAGAATGAACAGATTTCAGTGCTTGATGTCTGGTCTTCAACAGATAGTCATGGGACTGGACAATCATTCACTCAATCAAATCACAGAATTATGAAGGGTTATTGAACAGTAGAAGAGTGAATTTTTATGCCACTGGTTATCTATATTCCTTCCACACTGGCTGAAAAATCGACTGCTTCTTTGAGAATAATATAAGTTTACTATCCTTAACTCTTCATCAAATTTTTCTTTATACTCCAACAGTTACCCAAGAAATTTCATTGTTTGGGTTTGTGTGCTGATGACTGAAGTATGTCAAGTTGCTATCCAGGTCAAGGCAAGAAAGTGAGTATGCTTTCACAGTATTTTAATTGCCAGCCCGTAAATAAAATATCTAATTTAAGAAATTTTGATATACAAATATCCAACTTATGAAACAGTTACATTTTGAGGAGGATTATCACTTTGAAAAATAATTCATCATTTTACAAAATAATTCACCACCATTATTTCTTTTTTTTACAGAGCTAGTTCCCTGCTGAAGTTAATATAGACTTATTTACACAGATATTTTTAGGAATACATTCATCACAAACAGTGGAGTGCATCTTTGTAGCATTCTTTCTTGTAAATGGTTTTCCAAAACATATCTATGGTTAAGTGAAGTGCTATGAACTGAACCTAATTCTACTAAAGTTATACTGAGATTTCTAGATCCTTTTCCACCCAACCCTGGCAATAAATAAGTAAATAAATAAAGGTGAGCAACAAGAAGGTCAAAAGGGCATGAACACAAGATACATTATTTACACAAACCGAAGCATGATGTCAAATCTCTCTCTGGTGTTTAGGAATTTCTGTTGATAGAAATATGAATAGAAATCAGAAGCAGCCTCAAATTATTCACTTAAAAAACTTAAAGACACATCATCCCTTTACTTTGCAATTCTGCTGTGGTTTTATGTTTTCTTATTCTTTCCCTGCTGTTCCCCTTCATTAACGCTACCTAATATCACTACATATTTAGAATAATATCCAATTCTAGGATATCCAGTACAAGCAATATCCAATATTTTGTTTAAACTCATAAATACCTGTCAGTGACATCCGAGGATTGTTAGAAACCATCATTTCTGGAACACTGAAAAGCAGGGTGTTAACCTGCTCCGAAGAAATCCTTCTACTATCACCGTGTTTACCTGTAGAACATCATCACCCTAACCTGATATAAATAAGCTACTGGGAAAAAATTTTTGGTTGCTTTTATTGTTGGTGGTGTTATTAGAAGGAACAGAGGAAATTTGGAATTAAATTTCTTGTAAAGTATGTATCATGGTGATATATATGATGTTTACCGTTGGGGGAAGAACATACACACACAACAGAGGCAGCAAAAAAGGAATCATTGGAATATACCGCACGTACTGAGAGTATGACTACAATTCTCCTACTACTATATGTCTGACTTAGAACAACTCGAGTATTTAAATCACTGTCTCCCAGGGCTTATTCTGAGTCCTAACATATTTGAGATAAAGGTGTTCCTGAAGCAGTCAGAACATTCATTAAGCTTACTGTGTTTCTCTAAACCTCCCTGGCCCGTTCCTAAATCCCTAGGACAAAATCCAGATTTAGGAATGAGCAGCATGTCAGTGCCTCTGGCTTTCCTGAAAACTAAAATCTAATATTTCAAGTTGAATTCTGATATCCCATATCAAATCCATTAAAAAAAATCTACTAACTTCTATAATGTAATTGTCTAAAGAGTCAAATACATTGCCTCTTTAATTTTGCATATTCCTTTTGCTTTACAAGAAGGGACACAAATTTATGGAGTTTACCAAACTCATTCTCTCACACTGTAGCATTTCAGAAGTGGCAACAGTAATGTCTGTTGTACACATTGTTTTGCTTGGTCTGCATTCTGAGAGGCAGTACAATAAAGCAGTCAAGGGCATGGCCTTGAAGGACTCATCATAGCTTCATCACTAGCTGGGCACCTCAGCTTAGTCAGTGCTTGCCTCGATTTCCTCATCCAAAGAAGTGGGGATAAGAATAGTAGCTACTTCAGAGGGTTGTCATGAGCAGTACATGTGTGTTAGTACACGCATAGCACATAAGACAGTGGCTGGCATTGCTATTGCTGTTAGTCCTTATTCTTGATGTACGGCAATCAGTTTTTGGTCAGTGCTAAATCATATATGATTTGTCTAGTCCATGGAGGTGATTTTTGATGAAACAAACTCAGCATGTTTCTGTTGATTTGAAATAAATGCTATTGCATGTGGTGAGGAAACTTCTATTTCCATGGTGGCTTAAGTAGATACAAGTTACAGAATTTAAATTTTAAGAAGTTGCCAGCACCTTTTTTGATATTAGGTGAAAACACTTCCTTTTCCGTGAATGAGTATAATATAAGGTAAATTACCTTATAAACAATAGAAGAAACAAGCAATGAAGATTTGTCCCCATGGGGAAAACTGTATATCTATACCTACTGTTAAAATTAATAATGATTTTTGGGTGATTTTAATTCTAAAGAAATACCAGTCACTGGGGTAAAGAAGAAGAAACTACTAGGTTTTTGTACTTCTTTTGAATTACAAAAATGCACTGATTGAAAATAGGATTTAACTTTGCTTAGATTTAGATTATTAGAATGAATTCATTTTCATCTGGATGTTATGAACATGCAGTCATCTCGCTTTGTTTAAGGTGCTTAAATTGTTCCAATTTATTGTTATTCTTTTCTAGAAATTTTGCCACATTTTTGAAATTCGCTTATTCACAAAGCCTCATATTTATACTGATTGGCAGGTGAATCTGAAAAAGGTCATTAAAAAAAACAACATTAAAATAAAAATTATTTTCTGACAAAATGCCATTAAAAATCATCAGTGGGCTTCTCTGGTGGCGCAGTGGTTGAGAATCTGCCTGCCAGTGCAGGGGACACGGGTTCGAGCCCTGGTCCAGGAAGATCCCACATGCCGCGGAGCAACTGGGCCCGCGAGCCGCAACTACTGAGCCTGCGCGTCTGGACCCTGTGCTCTGCAACAAGAGAGGCCGCAATAGTGAGAGGCCCGCGCACCGCGATGAAGAGTGGCCCCCGCTTGCCGCAACGAGAGAAAGCCCTTGCACAGAAACGAAGACCCAACACAGCCAAAAAAAAAAAAAGAATAAATTAATTTAAAAAAATCATCAGTCATCAACATTTATTAAGACGAACATTTCCTTTACTTACTGAAAGGAAAAACTGGGCAACATAAAACTCTAGAAATTATACCTGACTTTCATTTTAAAAGTCTGAGCTTGACTCTGAGAAGGAGGCTTGTTTGCTTAAACTGTGTATGATAATGTTTTACATGTTCTTAAAAAAAAATTGGATAATATTTGTGTTTTAAAGCCAAATTGTAGGGCTGAGTGAAAAGTCCTTGCTGAGTAACAATCTCTAGAGACCCTAAAAAATTGTGAAAAGCTCTAATATTTCAGCTACATTGTTTTTTGCATATAAAAATATCTATTATAGGAGTCAACTGGCAGATATATTGAGTCACATTTGTTTTAATTGAAAAAGAGAGCTAAAAATTTCCTGTAAGTTATTGCAACAGTACAAGAATACAAGGTGCATTTATTTATTAACAAGAATACAAGGTGCATTTATTTATTAACAGCAACAACAACAAATTGTAAAACAAATTGTGAAAGCAAAAGCGGGCTACAAAACCAGGGTGTTTGATAGCCTTTGCCTTATTTAAACATGACATGTCAATAGGCCCCAGTTGAATAAATGCTATAAAGTGTACGTTTGCATTGGCTCATTCACCTTTAAACATCCCCCACCCAGTGCACTATGGAAAATGTGTGTTATGGATGAGAAATGCTTCCTCTGTCAAGTATCACAATCTTGTGGTCACGTAATCTTCGTGGGTGACCATGTCTGTGAGGTTTGCATCATAGTCTACACTGCAGTCCTCTTCCTTTGCGTGTTTCTCCTTTGGTATGATTGGAACCGTGTCCTCCACCACCACCTTCTCCGACTTGAATGAACACACTCTCTTGCCAACCTGTAAACCCAGGGAATCCGTATTTCTTTCTCTATGATCTACTAATATACACTGTTCGCTGAGACCTGGGATGTTCAAGTCACCCCGGGAAGCTAACCCTCGAGATTCCAGTTGGATGTTTGTCTCTAGTGGTGCTTCAGCTTGTTGACGAGCCACCTCTTCCGAAACGGAGAAGATTTGGTTTGCATTTTGCTCGGCAGCGTGTTTTGATCGTCTGTGAAATAGCCCGAAGTTTTTGATATCGGTCACAAAATTCACTTTTCTCTGCTTCTCCCTCGGTGGCTCCTGCACCACCAGGGCGGAGCCGTTGCTGATGGTGTGTCTTTCGGAGGTGATCGCTGCTGATCGTGGGTGAATCAGGGTGGTTAAGTCGAAGAGGCTAAAGTTCTTTTTCCTGTCCTTGCTACTACCTTCGTTATCACTCTTTTCATCCGAGTCTGCGGAGTTAGAAGAATCCTTCGTGCCCTGAGCAGATTGGACCGTAGAGAGCTTGCTTCCTCTTAGTAACCCCAGGACTTCAAAGCGGAAGCTAGAAATGTCTTGCTTCAGTTCCTAAGTGAAATGGAAAACGATGGAATTAGTCTGTGACGTAAACAAATAAACGTTGAGAATCATTATCTGCTCGTTTCATATATGGATCTGACACGTCTTCATTCATTTTTGAGAGCTAGGCGTCCACTCTGCTGTGGTTCTGATTAGAACTGTCAGTTCTCTCAGGGGCACTTGTATCTATTTGTTATCTCCTAATTTCCCTGTCGGAGTTCTGTAGTAATAGACTTCCTACGGTTGATGTAAAAAGAAACAGGAAGAGTTTTCTTTCCCACCACTCTGGTGGAGTATGTTGGGTTTCTTTGGAACTACAGTTTCAAATTCTTTCTCTGCAAAATATTAATCTGCTTTCAGGTCATCTTACATTCTCTCAGGGACATTTTGCTGTCCAAGGGGATACCTAAAACAAAATAATTAAAGTGGAGTCTACCCTTCCAAGAGCTGGCAGTTAGTTTCAATCGTTTATTACCTTGGAGTTGATTTTATCCCAACCTCTGGGGATAAAAAAATCAGCCACTAAATCCTGGGAATTGATTCAGAGCACACAGCACTTCCTAGATTCATCCCTTTATCTTTGGGGGCAGCTGAATTCTCAGTCCTAACCTGCTGGTTGCCTTGCGGTGGCCTCCTGCCACCAGTCCATCTCCCAAAGCATCAGGAATTGTTTAACTCCAAAATTCAGAGGTGTGGCAGCAAAGAACGTTTTGGATCCTAGCCAACTTTCAGTCTGTGCTTTAAGTTTTGCAATTTATCTCTCTTCTTACCTAACTGGCTGCTTATATTTATTCTCTGTTAAGCCTGCTGTTTTTCTTTGTCAAAGGTCTCCTGTAGGGTTTTTTATTTGATTGTTTTTGCCTATGAGATCTTATTGACTTTAGTCAGTCTTCCAAAATCTCTAGCAACTCATGCAGGCTAACAAAGGCATTTTATACACATGATTTGAGCAAATATACTTCGTGTATTCTACCTTTCTTCTGTGATAGAATTGAAAAAAACAAAACTCAGGGAGAAAAACTACTTTTATAAGCTACAGTTAAGCTCAGACCTTAAATTTTCTTTTACCAAAGCCGTGCCGAACACAAAGAAGGTTTTTGCTGTCGTTGTTTTCAGAACGTTGGTTACTAAGTGTTTCAGGTTTAAAAATCAGACCGACATTTCTAAAAGTAAAGCTCACTCAGTAGAGTGTGGCTGGGATCAGCAATCAGAATGCCACGAGGCACTAGGATTTTCTCTGCCTCCAAATAAGTCCCCTCGATCTTTCAGATTGTTTGTTTGAAAGCAATGTATTTTGAAAAGAAATTTTACCACTTTTTTTTTAATATATAAATCAATAGGGCTTGAATTTAAAAATCAGAAGACAGACAGGCTTGCTCAGAACACGTGGTCCAGTTTCCAGCTCTGGTGTTAAACGTGCTGCACCTGGTTCCACGCTCTGTGGAATCTGCCTTTTGGCGACAAAGATGAAAGTGGTTACCTTAAAGTTTTCCTCAGTCAGACCTTCTTCAGTTTTGGCGTCTCTAATCATTGCAGCCACGTATCGCTTTACCAGGTTCCTCATAACTTCCTGAGGCATTTGAACACAAGAGAATTGATATTCAGTGCATAAATGTGATTTTTCTCTTGAGTCAGTTCCAAAGAGGAGATTGTGCTTTATTTTAATGTAAGTGTCAAGATATAAGAATAACTTACTTGATATTGGTGATGTCTTCTTAAATTATCAGCAGCTCGCCTCTGAAAAGGGAAGGGACATTTACTTTTTGGTTATAGTGATATTGTACCATTCTGTAAAATAATGCCTGGTTCTTTTAATCAAGAATATTATTTCTCTCATTTCTGCAAAGTGGGAATTTTACTGGACAACAGACAATAAATAGCTAAAGAGAATGCTTCATATGAATCAAAAGAATGAATGAACCAAAACAACAAAGGGCAAGGTTATAATTCCTATGGCATTTAACATAGAATAAGTTAATGATGATGGCAAGATTGTTCATTTAATATAAGTGATGAAGAATTAAGTAATCATACTTAGTATGTATCCCAAATCATTTTAAATGGTCCTAAGAGACGCAGATGGGACATATCAAATACAAAATAAATGTCAAATAAAAATAATGATTTGATGGGTAAAAATCTAGCATTATAACAATATGAAGATCTTCATCAATAGCAACATTAAAAATTTAACCATGATATAAAACATGTAATCAGAAACACTGTTAGTGAACTCCCCAACGCTTAATTTCAAGCAGGTGTACATTAAGAGGAGATTGCTGTTTTAATTAGATGGTTGAATTTAACAAAATAAAATAAAAGGTTCTGATCAAAGATAGGGTTCATTAGATTAAAAAAAAAAATAAATGTGACTCTGAGCCATCATTTTGAAGAGATCAGAACGGTTTGGGAGCAAGCTGGTGTTAGCAGACAGCAATGATTATGGAGCGTAAAATGGAGAAAGATGTTTAAGGACTAGAAAATGTCCGTTATAAATTGAGTTAAATAATAAATGACAAATGATATATTTGCAGATTTCACTAGTATTCTAAAGATACTAGAAAAAAAGCTATCATAATCCCAATTTTATGCATGTCAAATAAATATCAGTATTGATTCTTAAGGAAGAAAACTAGCCAAAGTAATGTAAAATAAAAATACTTCTGTTACAAGGGAATGAATTTGGTAAATTGTGAGAAAGCAGAAGAGATAACATATCGGGCTTCCCTGGTGGCGCAGTGGTTGAGAGTCTGCCTGCCGATGCAGGGGACACGGGTTCTTGCCCCGGTCCGGGAGGATCCCACATGCCGCAGAGCGGCTGGGCCCGTGAGCCATGGGCGCTGAGCCTGCGCGTCCGGAGCCTGTGCTCCACAACGGGAGAGGCCACAACAGTGAGAGGCCCGTGTACAGCAAAAAAAAAAAAAAAAAAAAAAAAAAAAAAAAAATAACATATCTTGGGTTTAATTAAGTCTTTTGATCTTGTTCTTTACTAAATAATCATAGGCTGTTAAAATGGAATTTTGAAAAGGGCTGTGCATACATCACTGTGAAATGATATTAGATAAAAAATCAAGCAATTCAAAAGAAACTCTTTTTTTCTCTTTAGGGCAATAGGGGAAATTGGCCTTTTCACTGGCCATGAGAATGGATTTGTGTTTCATGACTATTAGTGACTTTTAGAAACAGATGAGACCATGCTTAACTTTCTAAAGGCCACTTTTAATGATTGGAATACCATTCAATATTACATGAATCTTAAGAAACAAATTTTCAAATGATTATGGTATTAATTAAAAGACTGGGAAATTTGAAACTTCATACAAAACTAGAACATCTTGAAAGAAATAGAGCATGGGAATTTTATGACTGGGCCACAAGATGGAGGTATGTGACTCCTGTTTAGACACAGATCAGCTGAAACCCGAGACAAAAGCACTTCTGGAAGGAAACAAGCCTTCCAGGTCTCCTCCACTTTTTTTTAAGTGAACACAAATACAAAAGCAATCTGTATGCTAACTTCTTTAGCACTCTCAGTGTAAGTATTGTACAGGAGATCGTATTCCATGGTTTAAGTAAATAGAAACTCTGAATTTAATATAGAATTTAGTCGACTCAATTTTTATTATCTTGGGGTTCTATAGCATTTTGCTTGTTTAATCTGTAAAAAGCCAATAAAAACTAAGCAGAGAGAAGTTTGAAATCATGAGTTAACTTTAAATTTCCTTAATGCAAAACTAAAACTAGGGATGACAAAATCAGAAAATTATGAGTAATAAGTGAAAATTATCATGATGCATTTTAGTATTAAAATGAGCACAAACTGTTTTCCCTTCAGTAGAACCTTACTCATACATGAACTTTAAAATTGTAATGCAAATATAAAAAGATCAAAGATCACACTTTAAAAACTAATTCCAAGTTTATTTTTCTAGGAAAAAAAATTTTTTAAGCAAAATAGTCTGGCAGAAGGAAAGAACATAGAAAAAGTTTACTATGATAACAGTAAAAATTTATTCAATATCCATAGCCCAGGTTTAAGGCTAAGTTAATATAGTTAATTGTTTTTGACAACCAATTTGTTTCCACAACTAGATGGTCATACTACAAAACAGTTTTCAGTATTGCGAGATTATATCAGCCACCCGAACTTCGCTATCCTAGGAAGAAAATAAGAATGGATGCAGTTAACCATCTTCTGAGTACTGAAAGCAAAAATGAATGCAATGAATTCACCAATGCTTATTGACCATTACTATCAGGGCTAACTGTGGCTATTTTCTTACTTTCAGGGAGGTAATGTGGTGTGATGTTAAGAACACCTGGGATTGAAGGTGACTAAGCCTGAATGAGGAATTTATCTCTGAGGCCCTCTCCCTTCCACATTTTTTATTTTGCAAGGTAAAGATAAACTCACTGAATGATTTTGAAGATTAAATGAGATACGAGATTTAAGGCTTCTATTACTAACTAATGTTAGTACCTGTCCTTTCTCCATTATTTTCCCTTTGTGATTAATATTATGATTTAACATACCTAAAAAATATGTTTTAAGAAAATATTCTTGAATCACAAAACCTGTGGATAGTTTAACACATATTGGGATTGCCTCTGGAAAAGTAAAAGAATGTACTTAGGGGTAATTATCTTTGAGTGATTTGCATGGCATTTCATGCTTGAGAAGAACATTTTCTTTAGCTAGAGAGTTGGATGCTTTAGCCTAGGCAATAGAGATTTGTAAATAAGAAATTCTTATTTAAGTGATAGGATGAAGGGATGGTCCTGGTAAATATGGATAGATATAACACAAATTCTGTAGGCAGTTATTTTTGTTTTATTAAGACTTTATTATTTTTTAGAGCAATGCAAGATTCACTGCGAATTGTAGGGGATGGTACAGAAATTTCCCTTAAACCCCTGTCGCCACACACTCTTAGCTTCTCCCACTATCAACATCCCCAACCAGAGTGGTGCATTTGTTACAACTGATGAACCTACAAAGACACATCACTATCACCCAAAGTCCATAGTTACATTATGTTCACTCTTTGTGTTGTACATTCTATGGGTTCTGAATGGAAAGGAGGGGACAGTAAGAGTCCCAGGGGGACAGGGAATGTTGAGGGGAAACAGCTGGAGGCCTGCTGCTGGGGTGGGAGCACGACTAAGATTTCTAGCCTGGCTGCTGAGATGTTGGTGCTATTAGAAAAATAATAAAGAATTCAATTTGGGACATGCTGACAAAGGACATTAAGGTGGAGATGCCACTGTCTATTTTATATTTTGGGGGAAGGTTAGGACTAAAGAAAAAGATTTGAGGATTATATGCATAGGTACAAGAGTGGATACAATCACAAATCCACATTTCTTGGCATTGCTAAAGGGAAACCATCATGAACAATAAAATCTTCGATAAATTGTGAATATATCTATTAGGAATGCATAAAATATTCCTTTCATTTTAAATTAGCTTTCTTAGGCTAATACTAAAATTAATTTAATTATCTAATTTCTCAGAATCTACCAAAGGTCAAGGAACACAAGATCGGGTTTCAAATTTCAATACATGACGACTGACGTGTAGGCATTAAGAACAGACATGTTACTTATTAGAACTGAAGAGCTGGTCCAGTCTCATTGCCTCATTTATAAGCAAGGAAACCAAGGTCCACACAGTTGAGTGAGTAATGAAAATACTACAGTGTTCTAAAGGCAGTGCCAGTCCTAGAATCCCAGGCTAGAATTTACTCTTAACTCCTTGCTTTTTTGATCAAGTAGACACTAAGAGATGTATAAGAACGTCTGTTCTGCATCCCATGACTTTGCCTCTTTCTCCCAACACATCTTAGTTTGTGGGTCAGCATCCTTTCGACTGGATCCTCATTTATTTGAATAAAAATTAACCACAAAATGCATGGCATATGTTGTACTAGTTCCCTAGGGCTACCATGCAAAGTACCACAAAGTGGGTGGCTTAAAACAACAGAAATTTATTATCTCACACTTCTGGAGGCAAAAGTCTCAAATCAAGATGTTGGCAATTCCATGTTCCCTCCGAGACTCACAGTAGAATCCTGCCTTTCCTCTTCCTAGCTCCTAGTGGTATCTGTTAATCTCTGGTGCTCCTTGGCTTATGCCTGCACAATTCCAATATCTACTCCATCACCACATGACGTGCTTCCTGTGTTGCCAGGTCTTCAAATGTTCATGTCCTTATGAGGTCTCTCCTCCAATAGGAGCTCATCTTAACACATCACATCTGCAAAGACCCTGTTTCCAAATAAGGTCATATTCTGAGGTGCTGGGGATTTTGAGTTCAAAGTATCTTTATGGGGGAGAAACAATTCAATCCATAATATATGCACTCTTTGCCATAAACATAATGATCATTTTTGGCAACCGGTGACATCGTTAAATATTTATAATAGAGCTGCCACCAACAATACCTCGTACGTTTGCAACCTCTTTGTTGGGTAAAGATCAGCTGCACTTCGAAAGGATTTACTCTCATAAGGGAAAGCATTACATCTTATAACTCTCACTGGAAGTGACTAAGAACAGAATGGACCAATGTGTGTTTATAAAAGTAATATAATGAAGGACAGTTCATTAAAAAATACCTAAGTGGGTAAGAGGTATTTAATTTTTTCAAGCCATTCACATGTTAAACTTCGATTGACAAGTGATCTGCAATGACTAGGGGTTCTCTGTTTTTACTAAAAAGTAATGAACGAGGTAGAATTATAGCATGATAGACCTGGGTTAGGAATAATGAATTTTCTGTGGATGAGTTCATGTTTACAGCGTTACTGAGAAATTTGTAGAATTGCATTTGGCAGCTTTTTCTAAAATAACTTGGGTTGATTTTCTGTTATGTTTAAGAAAAATGAGCCACGTGACTGATCAGGGACCTTCCTTCCCTAACTTGATGTCTAGGAAAATTATTTTGGAGGAAGACGTGCACTTTAAGATGGCAGTTTTCTCCACAAATTATATCGGAAGTCTGGCTCGGTTCTTTGGCAGGGTGGCTTTGAACGCAGGTGCCCTGGGCACACCTGCCCACCACATTAGCAGATCTCTCTCTTTGCAGGTTCCTCCTGCTTTGTTAGGACAAGACAATGGCAGTATTTGGATCACAGAACTAATGATAAAGGAAACGACCAACTAGTGAGAAGCCTTGCTGCCCAGAGGTAACCTCTCATTTCAATAGAAGTGTCAGGTTGCTTTAGAGCAGGAAGGGTTTTGCAGCTATGAAAGAAAGGGCTCTGGGGAATCCATGGTGACATTTTGTCACTCTTTATTTCTCATTTTCCCGGGTCCAATATGTGGAATGTCAGGCTTACTCCATGTAGCTCGTTCCCTGCAGTCAATTGTCAGTGCCGTTTTCTCTCATTTCCACTCTGGTTTTGGTCTATCACTGATTTTAAGCCCATGAATTATGTCTTTTATTCTCTGCTTTGCTCAGTGAATCCCTGAAAGGGGGCAGCTTGCTGTGCTCTTCTTTTAAAAGAAAACAAGTAAAAAGGCAAGGGGCCATTTCAGGATGTGATCCCTCTGTAAAGATTGTAGTTTGGCTCATTTATAGATGAATCTATACATATTGTTCTCTATAAACATACTTTCTAAGCATATAAAAATAAATGATATAAGAAGCTGAAGGTTGCCTTGTCAAAGCAAGTATTCAGGATCTCACTCTGGAAATAGCAAGAAGAAATTTGTTCCTCTAGATTCCCACTTAGGAAAGAAAATTTAATTGAAAGTTCCCATCAGCCAATCTTACAGCAGTAAATTAGGGATTGAGAGGTACCCATGGATGGACACAGTCATATCTGTAAGATTTGTTGGTAGGCCTATGAAAAGTCATGAAGATCAAGGGATGACACATTTTGATAATGATAAAACATGAAGTCTGAAAGGCAAGCACTCTTAGCATGTTTTCTTTAGTAATGATAGGTGACGTTAGTCCATTCACTGCTCCTAATTCTCTTGCAGTGACTTAACTGAATGTATTTCTGTGGCAACTGGTCAGGCATGAGTATCCCATCTGTGACCCCAGGGTTGAGTGATGCTAAGGGGCCCTAACAGAGATGGTGTTTCGTGTTCCCCTCACTGTGTGCTCCAGAGAAAACGAGAAAGTGGAAAACATAAAACTAGAGGTTAAAACCATTCTTTTATGATTTTGTTAAAAGACCTGGCAGTTTTTTGGTTTAGTATATTGCCCATTAACTTTAGCATTCTATTTGGAAACCTGGTCTGTGGCATTAAAAATGATTCATATTAATTAAACACTGGCAGGATCTTATTGCATTAACATCTTTTTACTTTAAATTATCTAGACCTCTTGGACAACAAGTACAAACATTGGCTTTTAGTTTAAAAAGCTGAGCTAGATACCAATGCTTTTTTTTAACAGGAATTTCTAATTAAAGTTACAGGCTGGAAGTGCTTGTTAAAATGGAAATTCCTGATGATTGTAGGACACACCAAAGTTTGAGAACCACTGCTTTAATACTGAGAAGAGTATTTGCTGATAAAATGTGTTTAAATTCCACAAGTAATATAAAAAACCAGAAGCCTATAAAATGTTGCTTATTTTATGATTGTACTTTCAATATGCTGCCTCTTTGGTGGGATTTTCATGATTTCGCAGAAACAAGGCATCTCTCCATCATGGGCTTGCTCCCGCAATAAAAGTGTTGTTCAATAAAGCATTTCTGCTTCATTTCTGCCTTCTCCCATAAAGCATTCCAAAGGAAAACTTAATTTACCTGGAATTCCCAGTCACCCATAAAAGGAAGTCCAAAGTTTAAAAAAAAAAAAAAAGTTAATGAGTTTTCAGAGCTAGTTGTATCAGTTATTATCCATAAATCGCAAGATAAGATCACCAATGTTGGGCTCCCAGACTGTGGCCAATCAGTAACCCTGAGAGCAGTGGCTTCAGCTTTGCAGGGAGGGATCAACAGGGTAACATTCAGGCAGGTGCTGGTGACAAGAGTACGTGAAGCACAAGTGGGAAGGTTTAGAGAAAATGCCTCCAAGGAGGTATAAACTCTACCTCCAGGTCAGCTTTAATTTTCTTCTTCACAAATGTGAAGCAAGTTGGAATGAGAGCAGAAGGTAGGCCAGCCTGTTAGACAAGGGCTTTGGGATACAGGAATCTAAGAGGCAGTGGAAAACAGTGGTGGAATCTGCAAAAGCTGTTGAGAAGAATCAAAAGGTGGACACACAACATGGAGGGTATCGTTGCAAGGTCATCAGAGTTTTCAGGGAAACAAGAGAGGGCAACGAAACGCACATGGGATGGGGAAACAAAAGACCCGAGTTTTTCCCCAGCTCTGTCACCTAAAACACTGCACAAGGTAAACAAGCTCTTTTTTAAAGGAAATAGTTGAGCTAAATGATTTCTAAGGTCCCTTTGAAGTGTCATGGCGTCTTCTAAGCCGTGCCTTCGTTATACAAAGTGACTGCCAGTGGTACTTCAAAGTCACCTTTCAGTTAATGGATGTGTGTCTATCTCCTTGTCTTCATCTGTCTACATGATGAACTATCAGGTCGATTCACCAAATTGAAATGAATTCACAGCACTCACTTTTGGAATTATTTTCTCATTTGACTCCTCCATTAATATTACAAACTTCTTCTTAATATACTTTTTATTTATCTTACATTTTTCTTTGCAAATAATACATATTATTTATTTCCATTTAAAACCTAAATGTATAAAACTCAAGTAAGGGTATGCATACCACAATATGTCCTTCTCATTCTGGAAATGCAGTCTAGGTAAAAGGTAAATGTACAGCACTGAGTTTGATTAGGTTGGTGCTTTACCCAAGCCTCCACTTGGCAGAGAAGAGGCAGGATTGAGAGTAGGAAGAGAATGGAGAAGAGAGAGGTGACTCACGATATTGATTTAGTTTGTCATAAATTCCCAAAGCATAAAAATATCCATTACCAAAGGTTAGTAAAATTCATATGGCTAGGGAAGAAGGAGTGATTTGAGGTCACAATTAATTGTGAATTACCTTTCTGTGCACCAGCTTGGATCAAAATATTCAAATTTAGAGACAGAGACATTAAAAAGAAACTTGTTTTTCTGACCAGGAATGTATAGAAAAGAAAGCTCTTTAAGTTATACCATTTACCCTTTGAATTACTGTCTTCATAGGAAAGCCCAAGTCAATGTTAAGCTCCTCTTTGCATGTAAGAAATGATGGTAATATACTCCTAAAAATATGTCAACAGTGGGAGGATTCTGGGGGACGGGAGAGAGAGTTGGAAGTCAAATTCTTAGAGTGGTCCTCCATTATTTTAGTGGCAGCACAGATGGCGCTCTTAAAATATTAGAGCAGGGCCCTATATTTTTTTTACAAGTTCCATGGCATCTTAAAACCCAAGATTCCTTCTGCTATTGCCTAAAATTAAAATATTAAAGACAAATTTCTTTTGCGTGTGGCTTTTATCTGGGTGCCCAGAAACTCTTTTTCAATTGAAATACTCCTATGAGAGAAAGCATAATAAGATAGTACTAATAATTAATATCTCTTCAAGGATTGATAAAATAAATTTCTTATGAATTTAAGAATAAGATGAGAGAAAGGACAAATATATTGTGATGTGGAAGGGAGTAAGCCAGAGTTCGGCATCTCTGCAATCTTTTCCCGTTTATCTCAAGGAAAACATGAATTAATTCTCACACCATTCTCATGGCCTCTTGCCTATAACTATACGGTAATGTTAAATATGTCATGTAACATGTATTATAGTAAGATGTTGTCATATCTGTGTCCCCCACGTTAAAAACAATACCCTCAAGGATGGAAACCATGCCTTCGTATATCTCCTCCCACCTCTAATTCCTAGCTCAGCTCCTGGCATGTGGAAAATGTACAGTAATTGCTTATTAAACCCAAATCATTATATTTATTTTATGAACATATTTTTTAAATAAATTGAACTTATTTTTTAAGAGGAAAATAAGACACTTGGAGTACAATAATTTTGCTGTAAGGTCAGTGATAAACTCTATAAATTAGTATGAGGATTGCAAGGTAAGGCTTCACCATAATCTGACTTCCATTTCTAAGATCAGATAGACACCCAATTTCCAAGTTCATGGAGTGACGGTTTCTAGGAAAGAATATAACTGCCTCTCCTAACCACACTCTGTTTGCTATACTCCCTTGCCAGTCAATTTCTCTTTAGAATTAGAATTGTTACAGAGATGACGGGACAATCAATGCCACTTTCAGGAGAGAAAGCCCCATCTGATGTTGATACAGTGCCTGGTGGGCAATGAAATTAATGAAAAAGAAGAATCACTAAGGGCATAACTAACAGTCATAAACTAAGTTAAATAAAATTAAAAATGAATTAATTTTTAATTAAATAACTGATATTACTTGATTCTAATATAAAGGCATATTAGAATACTTCCAAAGCAATTTCTCTGAGAAGGTCCAAGTGACTGATGAATGTTAGGGTATTAATTTCTAAAACATGAGAACTTTGAAAATTAGGAAATTGAGTGAGAAAGAAATGAAGAATGACAGGTCAGTGGTTTGGCTGGAACAAAGCCTTAAATCCATGCCTTTTCTGTTGGAGTTGCTTGAACTCTTGCTTTCCAATATGAAAGAAATGTCCCAGGGAAGTATAATCTTCCAGTATAACAGGGGCATGGCTCTGAACAGTCCTAATAGTTTTTACAAACACAACTTCTTGGCATTTAGTATAACTGGGAGTTAGAAGCAAAATGTTGAACAATTGAACATATTCTGAAATCACTGCGCTTGAACATGGCACAGCATTTTCAAGTTAGAATATTTGTTCAATCACTGAATTGAGAAATTTTTCTCAAGCATTCTCCGCTCTGTGCGGGGGCCTAGGTTAGGCGCTAAGAATGTGAGGTATCTGAAGCAGATCCTTTCGCTTACAATCCAGAGACAGAAACAGACCATGAGTCAGTCATGCCACAGGTAACCTGAGGTTATAATTCTGAATAGAGCTAGAAATTAAGGTTCTAAGAGAGAATGTACTAGTTCTCCAAGCCTTGACTAGTGGGTTTGGAGAGGCCTATGTACAGTGTGGCTCCTATTAAAATAAGAGTGACCGCCCTCAGTGGAGGAAATGGGTTTGTGAAACCATAGTTAGCCATGGCTAAGCAGGCGGTTTCTTAGACACAGTAGCTGTGCAATAAATGTGCACCGAATGCACCCAGTGAGAACAAAAAGAATAAAATGCAAATGTATTCAATAAGGAATACAAACATACTCAAGCACACATTTAAAAAAAACCCAAACAAACAGTAATACCAACATGCTGTGTCCTTACCCCTATTGTTCCAAAACTTTCTGGCTTTCTTCTCATCTTTTTCTTGCACAGGTGTGTCCATATCCATTTGATCAGGTACCAGAGAGACTTGGGGCTTGGGATGACATTGAAGGGAGTAGGCAGGGTACCTCCTTCTTCAAAATAACTCATCCAAAGCTTTGTCCGAGCAAATTTCCATTCTATATCTGCATGGTCCTGAACAGGAAAACACGACAAGTGCTGACAGGTTTCTTAATTAATAAGGTGAGATAAACCTCACAGAGAGCCTGTAACCTGACTCTGAGTGGCTCTTGGAACGTTAATTAAATTGCCTGTAAAAGCAACACTGACTCCCAGAGATGGTCACCTAAATTCAGACAGTGGCTTAGCATGGAAAGGAGTCACAACTCTCTTGTCAGTTTTCATCCTTCCCACTTGCAGGAAACAGACATTTACAATGAATCCATGTTAAAGAGACTGCAGAGATTGGTTATGACTTGAAGATGACTCTTCATTTACTGCACTGTAGGCTTACATTAGCTCAGTTTCATTAGATTCTGGCCACAAGCAGGGCTTTAGGTCTTACCAAAGGCCTTGAAACCCTGCCTAGGTAGGTGCCCATGGCTCATACTTCTGGCATTTCCAGTAAAAGTCTTACTTGATATGTTTCCATTTGAATAAACCTTGTGCACCTTTAGGCAACAGGCATAAACTCAGAGAGAAGTTCCTCTAAGAAATGTACAGTAGGGTATCTGACACAGCACTGAACCCTCACGTAACCTTGGCCAAATGGTACCAGGTGAGAGTATGGCTAGGGGTTGCCCACAGGCCTGAGGCATCCCCCTAATTATTTATTAATAATTCTGTGTTGTTTTAATCTCCTGGAAAAACTAAGGAACATTTGTGGCAATTAGATATGGGGCAGCCAGTCTCTTCTTAAATTAGCCACAAATCTTATTTAAGCAGAAAATCTGGGAAGTAGGAGGTGGTAGAAACTAGGCGTACATACAAATTCAAAATAGTTCATTTTAACCCATTAATATTATAAAAAAACTCGAGTTTTAGAGTAGGAGAAATCAGAGTATACTTCATTCTAATCTTCCTAAATTGCTGTGTGCTGATGAATGCATATGTTGTTTATACATTCTACTCTGAATAATACGGATTTTAGTCTAGACGCTGGACAGCTCGTGCTTTCAACAGAAGTCACTGTATCTAGAAAATGCATGGTCTTCATTTTTGCTTACCAAACGATCGATAGATGGACGTACAGAAGCTACAGCTTCCCCTTGTGTCTCCTCTCCCATTTCTGCTTCCTTCCCTATCTTTCTTCCTAAACAAGCTTATAGATTCTGCATTAATGAAGGAAAGCAGATGTTGTTTGCTGCCGCCACAGAGAATGGGACTGAGTAGAACTGGCTTCAGGTAATAAAAAGGCAGCCCCGCAGGTGAAGTGTTGGCCTGTGAGTAGCTTCTGCTCTTTCTCATTCTCAGGGAGTCACAAGTTGAGGATTATCCTGACCTCAGTATGTTCTCTTACTGCTGTCACAAAGCAGACTCTTCCTTTGGGATTCTGAAAGGGTCTATAACAACATCTACAGTGGTTAGAAAAAATGAAGGTGAAAAGTTCCCGGCTGGGGCTTCCCTGGTGGCGCAGTGGTTGAGAGTCCGCCTGCCGATGCGGCGGACACGGGTTCGTGCCCTGGTCCAGGAAGATCCCACATGCCGCGGAGCGGCTGGGCCCGTGAGCCATGGCCGCTGAGCCTGCGCGCCCGGAGCCTGTGCTCCGCAACGGGAGAGGCCACAGCAGTGAGAGGCCCGCGTACTGCAAAAAAAAAAAAGTTCCAGGCTGGTGATAACTATAATCACCTCTGCTACCCATCTTCTAACTCTTAGTTAATGTTTAAAGCTTAGCTTAGGTATTTCCTCTCTTAGGAGCCAGCCCTGACTCTCATCTATCTCAGCTGTCTCCTCTCCCCAGCCCATGTTACAGTCCTCTTTTCTGTGCTTTTATCACATTCTCCAATTCCTTTTCTCAATATTGAAATTATTTATTGAATTTTTGTCCATCCTATATTATTTTTTCTCGAGGGCAAGGACTTCATTATACTGGGTATCCCTAAAATCAAGCGTATGTCTGGCATATACTAGGTGCACAATAAATATTTGATCTATGAACAAAAGAGTGAGTGAGAAGGAGGCTTTGAACATGGTCTGCATGATCGCTTTTGCCTTTCAACTGTTACATTTTCTTCTTCTTTCATGCTTTATCCTAGAGCTCTGACTTAAGGGTAGCAGGACAAAAAGAGAGAGACCTCAGGGTAAATTTTGCTATTGTGGCACAGGTGAAAATCAAATACTTGGCATGTTCATGCTCCAAGGAGGCATCACATGCAGGATGTTGGGGGTACACCTGTCTCTCAAGTAGCTTTAGAGTTTGGGCTAAACAAGAATAGAAATTTGAAGATCGTTCTCATTTCTACAAGTCACCTAGAAAGACACACCCCACACAGGAGCAAAAAGAAAATATTACACGGTTCCTGAATAACGTTCTCTTCTTGATGAAATTGATACATTTAATGTTTTATAGGATCCAAATTGTATATACAATTTCTCTGTGTATAGCTTGATAATTAGAGGCTTTCTAATATTTTTGGAAGGGTGGTCTGGAAAATAGAATCCACATTTAGCAAATGTGTTGACTACAGGAACACAGAACTTCTGAAACAAATATACATATATATTTCTGGACTATCTAAAAAGCTTAAGATTTGTGAGATGCTTAAGTGAAGTTCCACAAATTCAGATATTCACCCGCAACTCCTAGGACCTAAGTATATTTAGTGGGAATACTCTAGTCTTGGAATCAGTAAATAAAAATCGTTTCTTCTTATATTTCATGCAGCTTTTCATCTGTGACAGGTGTCTTGCTTCCATAAAGACAGTATAATTAAAATTAGGAGTGCCGCTTCTCAAAATAACAATAATAACACCCCAGAGGATTAGCAATAGATCCAAAGATGCAATATAATTGCAGTTATTTATGGAGTAAATGGGCAGCCTGTAATTATTCTTATAAAAAGCTACTTGTCTAAAGTATACATAAGAAAGACTTAAGAAATATATTTCATTCCAGTATGGGTTTGCTTTGTCACTATTGCTAATGGCCATAGACACAGATCACTAGTAAGCAAGTTGTAGGGGGTAAAGGACTTCGCCATTCTTGTTCATTGCCATATTTCTAGTTCTTAGGACAGTACCTGGCAACAGAGTAAGCACTTAATAAGAATTTATTGAATGAATGAATAAATAAGCTAAGTTGTTTGGATTCTAGAGTTTCAAATAAACACATATGGTACTGTATATTCTGCTACAGCATTCAGGGTTACTCCTCTCTGACTTTTGTGTGGGCTTTAAGAAACTGAAAATCCTGTGCTTTTTCACTGTGACTCCTCTCTGGGCTAGCTCTTGTATCTTGCCAAGCTAGCATGAGTTTGCTTATATCAAGATTGTAGATTAGATGGTCAGAGACAATGTAAAACCCAAAGGGCACTTCCTAGAGATGAGCTGCCTGTTCATAATCCATACCTCACCTGCTGTCTGACACAGCCAGTGACCGCCTGGTGGGATAGATTTAGTATAATCATCTGTAATATGAAAAGACTAAAATAGTATGTAGCCAAGTAGGGTAACAGTGCTGAGAAATACCAAATTAGCCACTTACATTATAATTCCGATTCGTCTTATCAACAGCAATTATAGATTGTATTTCCTATGGTAACAGGATGGAGTATAGCTAGGAACGACACATTCTAGGGGGGAAGTTATTCAACTTACAGCAATAAGTTGGTAAGAATTATTCATCATAGCTATTAACATGTTAAGTAGGACAACCAGAGAGATGATGTTGTATGTCCCAAACATGGTGGCACCAACAAACTCGGTGAATTCATGCTGCGCTTTGACATTGGTCACATATAAGTTGATGAGCCCAAATATTGACCAAAACAGGGACTGGAGTGTCTCAAATAACCTAGAATAAAGGTAAAATGACATTAATGGCTACATTAATAGAACCATTATACAATAAGATAGAATGATAGAACATGATTACTATGAGGTTATAGTTGATTAATTTAAAAATAAACTTAATTAAAAAAAATTAAAGAAAATTGTTTCCTTGTACTAGCACAAATGTGTACTTAATTTTCTCAAGAGCTTTGAAAACTATTTAGTTTCCTGGCCAGCGATGACAAATCGGACCCACAGCATGTTTTTGTATAGTCATCGAGCTAAGAATGGGTTTTACTTTTTCAAAGGGTCGGAAAATAAAAAAGAAGAGTGATGTTTTGTGACATGTGAAAATTATCTAAATTCATATTTCAACGCACATAAAGTTTTATTGACCTACAGCCATGCCAGTTCACTTATACACTGTCCGGTTTCCTTCGTGTTACAATGGCAGCGCTGAGTAGTTGCAACACAGAACATACGGCCCACAAAGCCCAGCACATTTGCTACCCGTCCTTTTCATAACAAGTTTGCAAACCTGTGTCCCAGGGCACCGAGTGACAGTTAAGAAAGAATAAATCTGCAGGCTTAGTCTTTAAAAAATGTAAGTTCTTTTACCTGATTTTCCTTTTTGATTATAGAAGGATTAAAAATAATGTTATCATTATGGATCTCCACATTTACAATTAAAATTGCAGAGTGAATCCTGTATGATAACAAAATGTCTCAGAATGCTCAGATAATAAGATTTGCTATTTTTTATATATCAGGGAACATTTTCTTCATTACTTAACTTACTCCAAAAATGGAATAAGATGAAGAGTGTCTGAACCCAAATGAAGAATTGTTTCAGTAGGACCATGATAACACCTTAATGTAATAAAAAGACAATGGAACTCTTATATTCTTTGAGAAATGGTTTAAAAAATACTGTATTTAAATTATGTTGTGAAAACAAAAGCAAAAAGTATCTTATACGTGGCATGACGACTAAGGAGGTGGGATTTCAGTGGTCAAGTGCCCCAAGGAGAGCAAATTCATATGAGGCCAGTGGACAGTGGTATGACCTGATGTGAAAAGATGAGCTTAAACTATCAGATTTCCTCTCTGTGAAAGTTTGCCTTAGAAATATCAAGAGAATGAGGTAGTTGTTAAAAAGTACTGAAATGACAGGAGTTATGATGTAGAATTAGGATCACTGGAATTATGAGAAGCCAAAGGTTTGAGACAGCACAAGCTAAGAAACGGAGAATTGAGAATAAATAAGCCAGATAATAAGTAAACCTTGAAGGGAATACACATGGAGTAGCTAAGTCATGTTAATATCGGTTCTCAGAGGAAAAAAAGTCCCATGGTCCAGCTCTACATCAACTGCTGCTCTTCTCGAAGCCAGGTCTTGCTCTAGGCTCTGTCCTTGCTAAGATCAACCCTTGCTCAGAGAATCAAAGGGCTGGATTCTTGTACCAAACTCCTGTTACTTGAAACAATCCATGAATTTCTGATCAGTATGACAAGGAGAATCTAACTAAGGATGCCTTAATTGGTGTTCAGGATTTCTTTTCTTAAATTAATTGGGTTTTTTTTTAAGTAAGCCATTTCATATTTTTAATTGTATAATAAAATTTTAATTATAGAATATGAAATGTAATGGTTTCTTTACTGAATTATTTTGCTAGGGCTGTTCAACTCTCAATGGGGCAAATTATCATAAAGGTTTCAATGTGATCAACCTCAATCAGACCTTGACTTGCCGGCAGGGATGTACTTTGTGAAGAGTTCACCGTATATTCTTAAAGGACAACCAGATGTCAGATTCTAACAATATCAGGGAAAGTTTAATATAATTCATTGGCCTCAGACAAAGGTCACTAGAAGGTATTCTTTGAAAACTTTCTCAGAAAAAAAGTAAATTTGACCCAAGGCCATGAGTTCTTTATTGTCAGTAGCTTTAGGGAGAATTTCTAAGATTAATGACAGTGTCATTGGATTCAATGTGAAATGATTTTGTTCTTCCTTTCTAAATAGTGTATATTCTCACTGTGAATATACAAATATAATTCAACAGGTTTTTCCCTGACCTCAATAGCAGTTCAGAGAGAGAGTAGAAGTTACATGAGTGATATAATAAATTATATAAAATGTTGCCACATAAATCCCATAACAGTTACTTTTCTAAATGTTCAAATAAAAAAGTGATGTAGAGTAAATGGATTGTTATGGTTGAATAATTCTGATTTTCTTCTACCTAAATAAGAAATACTTATCATTAGGATATTAGCAGACCCTTTGGCAAAACATTTATTTGCATATTTAATTAAAATTTGAAAATAAGAAAATTCAAAACAAGATGACATTTTATGATTAACTCTGAATTTCATTCTTATTTTTATTTTCTTTTCATTTTTTCAGTTGAATGAATCAGAAGTAAGATTTTCAGAATAGTTCCACTTAACCAAAATATATTTACTTTTAGATGAATCAAGACCCTGTTATCAGGACACTGGTGTTTCTTAGCTAATTATTCTATTATTACATGGCTTAAAAAATCAATATGTTAATATTTCAAAGCCATTGTTTCTAAAACTGTTTTCATAATTATCGAAAACAACATTGCCCATAGATTGAAGGGCCGTTAGCATTAGCTGCATCACATTTTAGATTAACGTTATGTGGCAACTATTTTCCTAATTCTATGGAAAGATAAGGACAGAGAGCTTTCCAGGATAATGGCACCCTTAATTAAATCACACTTTGCATAGAATCTTGGTTAGAGACTAAGACCTGGCAACTTCTACAGCGTTGTCATCCTAAAGATGTCTCTTGTTTCTTGAGGCTATTTTTCAATTTCTACTTTTAAAAATGAGCTTATTCCCCAGTTAAATACTTACAACTACAGAAAGAGAACAGGTGAAAAGGTCATGTATTTCACAGTTGTGTTTTCCTCTATCCTTTGAGATGAAATCGATGAGGAAACATAAGTTAATACAAGAGATCTGACTGTTTTATTCTGAGTTTATAAGGAATTAAGAATATTAAAACAAAGTATGACTTCAGCTGGCCAGTTTCAATTATCAGAAATACAGCTCCAATCAAGATAAAAGGCATTTTCTTAATGAGAAAATATCTATCACAAGGTCCATGCCTCTGTATTCATAAGAGAGCCCCTTACCCAGAGACTATTGGTTTAAAATTCTATGCAGAATAATTTCAGTGATTAAATATTTGGTTTCTTTTAGTAACATGTAGTTCTTCCCATGTCAAAGAGAAAACAACCTGGAAGCATTAAAGGGGCAGGAAGAAGTGTCCACTTGCTGGTGGGAAAATGCACAGAGAGACATAGAAGACAGATCACAGTCTGTTCCCACTGGGAGCTCACAGTCAGGAAGGGATCAGGAAGGCATCTTGGAAAACGTACATCTGAGATAAGTTTTGGGACACAAAATTGAACTTTTCCAAGTGAGAGGGCAGAACAAGAGCATTCTGGGATGAGAGAAGAATAGGACATATTTAGGGATTGATAACCTATTAGAAAACGTTGAAGAATAAAGTGTTATTGGGGAATGGAGAAAGATGAAGCTAAAAAAGCAAGCAAGGGGCAGATCATTGAAGGACCTGGTATGTCAAGCTAAGAAATTTGACTGTATCCAATAAGGAACAAGAAACCATTTAGGTATTTTAAATGGAGGAGTGTCAAGACTTTGGCTTAGAAAGATCATTCAGGCAACAGGATGGAAGACATATCAAGGAAGGCAGGGACCAGGGGCAGAGGGCCTTAGATTTAGGCAGGGTCAGCGAGCAAGGGAGGATGGCCCCGAGACAATAAAGAGCCGTAGTAGACATTTATTGACTGACTGCACGTGGAGGGGGTGGGGGGAAAGAGGGATCTTGTATAAAACACAAGTTTTTGATTTAAGTATCTGAATGGGTTGTGGCAGCATTGACTAAGAAAGGGATTGGAGGAGGAGGAATTTAAAAAGTTGTGAAAGAGACTCTGATGAGTTTTCTCTGATTGGGTTTAAATGTTTAGGAGATTTGCCTGGAGAGGCATTCGAAAGACAGTTGGACTTACAGATCTTGGGGAGAGAGGCCGATGCTAGTGATATAAATTGAATATAGGAGTCATCTCTTAGACATCTTGGATAGGGCCAAATCCATCAGATGAGTTTTCACAGAGATATTGGAACAGGGCCAGAGGATAGTTACTAAGGCAGATCACTATTTAAAAGCAATCACTGAAATATAATTATTAGAGAACCATGAGAAAGATTAGAAAAGTAAGAGATAAAGTATTAAAACATAGTAATATTAAAAGTAAAGGAGGGCAAGATTTTAAAAATGAAGGTGTTAAACAGGGTCAAATTATACAGTTTAAATAGGATACAAAGAGATAAATGTCCATTGACAGTAGTGATATGGAGCCTCCAGCTATTTTCTAGAGCAACAACAAGGTATCTTGTTCAGGCTTCTTTTCAGGGTTGCTTGGATGAGAGGAAGGAGAGAGACAGGAGTAGCAGCCAATGAGAAACAGAGTTCAGAGTTTCAGCATACATTTGTGCCCAGACTGGAAGGAGTTATAGGGAGGAGCCATGTGAAGACAGGTAAGGAAACACTAGATACTACTACTAATAAAAAGAAGTGCAGTGGATAACATTTTTTATCACATTATATGACAAGCACTGTATTAGGTACTTTACATTAATTCTTTTTTAAATTTTCATAGGGAAGACATGAGATGGGGTAATAAAAAGAAAAGGTTGAAATTTGTGGAAGTTACAGAGTTATAAAAAGAAGAAGATATAGTTATAACTGCAAGCAACAAGTCGTACTAGCAGTTACTCTTTGTGAGTAACTTTGAACAAAAACAATTTGTTGCTTGCAGGTTTACATTCCATTATCTGGAAGAGAATTCAAGTGGAACACCTGGTTTATTTGCACTGAATGATTTGGACCCATAATATTGGAGTGATATGCAGTTATCTGTTGCTTTTCATGGTAATAGAGAAAACCATTGGTAAGGATACACTAAAAGAATACATAATCCAAGCAATTCAACGTGTTTGCTTTTAGAATAAAATTTATATTAAATATTTTGCATCAGATTCTCTAGCCATATTCTTTTGAGACAGATGTTAAAATTAGCTCACAATATGTCAGCATTTACCACAAAACCAGTAACAGGACAAGGGGCTTCCTGAGAATCTCACACATCATAAATTAGGATGGGGTTAGGTAGAACCTTGTTAACTACAGATGAATCATATGTCTGAGAAGGGGTTGGGGCTTGGAACCTGAGCTGTTCCCTGAATTAAAGAAGACCTGAGGAGGGAACTCAGTTCTAGGGGCCCTGTGGAAGTTCTCTGGAAGACAAAGCATGATCAGAAGGGTGTGACCACAAATGTCAACAGGGCGGTCTTGGCAGGTAGTTGCACCAGGGCACATAGTACAAAGTAACGAGGGAGTTGTGAAAGATGGAGCATGCCACGTGGCTGTCCGTCAGAAATCCAGGAGGCCAGTCAGCAGACAGGCACCATCCAGGAACTTTGTTAGAGGCAGAATTTGAGTCTAAGAAGGGGGAGGTTGGTGGGATCTTCTACTGTGCATCCCTAGTCCCCGTTGCCAGGAGCAAATTGCCAAGTCAAGGATCACAAGCGAGTGGGGAAAGGCAAGTGCTGATATCAAAACTGAGACACAATCCAAGGCTATTCCTCACCAGGCTATTGCTGCAAGGGATTTCACTGAATCCCTCCTGAACTGGGTGAGAAAAGAGCATGAGGAAGATGACAAGGCTGGGTGAACTGGTCGGGCTGGAGAACTGCTCAAGTCCAGGAGAATAAAGGGGCTGGAGCAAGGGATAAAGTGACAAGGAGAAGCTGGGATGACTTTTTGTTTTCTTTATGATTCACGGTTTGTATCAAATCGATTTCTGAATGGATTTGAGGCAGCTAAGGTTCCGATGAAAACTTACGTGCAAATAATCAGATGTTAATGAAGTTAAATGGGGTTTTAAATACTGGGATCAAAGGGAAAACAGATACAGAATTGAGCCAACAAGATTATTTTAACCAAAAGTGATTTAGTTTACAGGACGTTATTGATTTCCTCCCTCTGGAGGAACTACTGTACTCTCTCAGATTTCATAAAGTTCTAGAAGGGCTGATGAACGGCCAGCCGACTTTCAGAGTCATCTACACAAACACTGTGTGTTCACACGTGGTTACTGTGGAGAGGAAAATCACCTCACTTCTTAATTCACCTGCCAATTCACTGTTTATCATAGTGGGAAGGAAATGGACACAGGCAAGTAGAGGGGTTTTGTATCAGAACTGTGTGAGCACGAAACACCATGGCCATGAACCTGGGCTGTCGGCGTGCCCGACTGTGAGAATTACCAGAGCTTGACACCGAACAAGACCTGATACTCCTCAGCTGTAGGGGCACAGAGGGTTATATGTGCATCATAATCACGGCTTAGGTTAGCCTGAGGTCTCTATTTTGGACTATTTCTCCATGCTTAGAGTTTTGCGTAGGGAACCCGAGAATAAAAGAGACATGTGAAGGAACTTTAGTATCTGGAAAACACCTAAGCAAAGATTGAAAAGCATTTGGATTTTCTTCCATGATTGGTTTTCCATATATTCTATCTCTTACTGTGCTTGTAAGCTATCACTAGGCACAAATTTCTTTCTATTCCACATTTTAAAACAGTATACATAACTGCCTTTTATAGGAGGTCATTTAGAAAGAAAAGACCATTTTACTAAAACTTAAAATAAATGTACTGGATATTTCTGTTTTCCACACTAAGCACAATTTTTCTTTGCAACCACTTGTCACGGTTCAAATTTGAAATGTAATACCCTCTATATTCTGCCCAACGTTCCCAATAGAAAAAAAAGTCTGCGAGACTTACGTTGAAAATGCATTATTCTGCTTTTCACATCGTATGCCTTTGCAGCTTAACCCTTTTGTTTCTTCGTAATAGAAGTACAATTGATTTAGGCCATTGGCAAATGCTAGCAACACAAGGCAGTAGATGAATAGAAACTTCAAAATGTCCAGGAGCATTCTTCCCAGAGATATTTGCAGAGGCCCCAGGTGAGAATTTGCAGTAAACAGTGAGATCAGTCGCAGGGAACTGAATATATTTGCAATAGCAAATAAAGCTTCAGCCACCAGCGTGGGATGCCACATGTCCCAAGACTCTCGTGGATTAAGAGCACTGTACTGGAGAGAAGAGAGACAAAGGGGAATAAAATATGAAACAAACACATACATATAAATATGTCAGTCTCGGGACAGGATGATTTTTCAGACAGCTTCGGCACCACAGCAGCCTACTGGCAGGAAGCTGATGTTCTCCATGATGGTGGCAGCAATTCTAATCTACAGAAAAATAAGAATTTCCTAAAGGAATTTATAATTGTTGAGCTTCAATCAAAGTGACCTCCCGGATCTGTCCTTGTCATTTGTAGTATTTGCTAACCTGTGAATTACATCTGTCCTGGATCTTTCCAATGGGACTTTTAAAAAAGAAAAGGAAAATGTTACATAAGAAAAGATAGACTGTTTTATCTTGGGAAAAAATGGTGATTTCATAATTAGAACAAAGAAAACTACATTTTAAAGGAAAACTGCTACATTTTGAACAAAATCAATGGCTTTGCTTACTATGTTTGACACATTTGCCTATTCTAGAGGAATGTATGCTGGATACAAATTACATATAAATGAATGGAAGTAGTGGTCTGTTGCCTTGGATATAGTAATGACTAACGTGGGTATGACGATTAATATTTTGTATCTGTTATATCCTAAATGTACATAAAACCTAAACTGGAAATCATCCTAGCAGTCAATGACTTGCTAATTTTTAATATTTCATGTGTAGAAAGTGTGATATTTGTCTGAACATTCCCTAATTAGATAAAATATGTGATTTGAGAAAAATATTTGCTACATTAAACTTTGACCAGCAATTATTTTAAAAGTATGATTTAATTAAAATGTCAGCTTTGAACTATCTTGATACTGGGCTATATAAAGAGCACAGTGAAATTTATCCCTTGTAGTCTTGAGGTAAATCTGTACCCCTACAAGAAAAAAGGTCAAATACACTCTTTGAAATATTACATTGTGAACATCTATTATTACACCTGTATAAGAACTGAACAAGTTAAATTCTCTTCTTCATATACATCACTAAAAATACATCTAGACAATTGCACTTTTTTCCTAATGATCATGTAGGGAAAAGAAATTTACTTCTGTATGAGTCTCTCAGAATATTTCCATTCTTTTTATATTGCATTTTATACCAAAGACCTTTACAAATGTTAATTAAGTCTCTTGAAGCTAATAGATGGTATTTTTAAAATCTCCTTGCGGAGAAAATACATCACAAGCTCTTGATTTTGTTCAACACTCAGACTCCTGCTTGAGTGACAATTTAAAACAATCAAGTTTGAACTAGAAGGAAATTATTTTCTATTTTTGAATCCTCGTAACCGTTCTTGAACATTCCCCTGCGCAGCTTCAGCATAAAATAGCTAATGATTGAAGATACAGAAAAAATTTTTAATTTAAGATTTTTATTCATTATAATGAGTATCGGAGTGACAGGTTGTGGTATCAAACACCACCTAAATCTCTCCACTCCCCTCCCCCGGTATATTATGCCACCTTTTCCTTCAAAGATTACGATAACATTCACCTTCCTTTTTTCACTTCTCTTGAAAGACACACATATTTTAGTAGAGAGTATTTACCCTTCTGTTGATGGCTAATTACATATTTCTCCTCTCTGTCTGTCTCTTTCTCTCTTTCTTACTTAATATGGCTTAGGACCATATCTCAAAATGTACAAAACACTAAACAGTAAGCATTCTTAAGGATGTAATCGTTTTCTTGGAATTTCTCACCACATTTAACACAATGTCCTGCGTGTAACAGGTGCTCAAGAGACATTTTATCCCATCAAGTATTCATGCATAGTCCAGTGAGGATGACAGGGACAGCTAATTATAATAAAAATGCTCTAAGAGATTAACACAAACTGCTGTGGGAATAGAGAAGAGAAAGTGATACAGTCTGTCTGGGGCTGCTGGGGCCGGCAATGAATAGAGATTACATGCTGTTCAAGCTCTAAGGGTCCCTCGATGTTATTGAATCTGGTGGAGATGCTGTTCCTTGTTCTACTTCTCACAGCCAGTTTGCGGTAGTTGGATGTAGAATCCATCGTCACGTGGTCACTGACCCCAGCTCTACTTTTGACTTACTAAACTTTAGAACCCTTCTTAGCAACTGCTCTCAGCTGGAACTTGCAAAATCATAAGAGGAACATTTCCCATTTTACAAATCAGAGATGCTAGTTTCTGCCCCGGCATAATTACCCAAGACCGTTTCAGAGTCCAGCACTTCTGGTAATTGTTGGGAAACAACGCTATGTGAATATGTTCACACATCTATGCATGGCCGGGGCTTACTGAGAAATATATTGTATTGGGGTTAAAGGATGTTTGAATGGCAAATGAGTCTTGGAAATTAAAGATAGAGACCTCCTGAGAGATTTAGAAATATCTCCCCTGGAGCCATCTGCTTACAGTCTAAGGATAATAATTCTAAGGGGCCTTTGCCTCCCCAGAGAGAATTTGTTTTCTTTAGAAAGTTAAGGTCTTTCTCTTTTCTTCTCCAGGGGGAAGATGGGCAGCGGGCACAGCTGCACTATATAAGCTCTGAGATGCATCATTTCCCAGTTCCTCTCCTGTGGTACAAACTCATGGATGTGAAGGGCACATCTGGCTCTCATCGGTCGCCCTCTGGAGGCTTGGAGCACAGGGATCCAATGCCAAGATTCTCATGTAAGTAAATAATTTGTCTGTTCTCTGACCCAGAAACCTTGTTTCCTGTTAATCAATGGAGATATGAACCTTTAGAAATTATCTCTTGATTACACTCTTTTAACTTTACTTTTTAATTTTTCTTCTACCATTCACATCTATGTATATTTAGCTTAGGTTTTTAAATATAGGCATTATTTTACAAAAGGAATTCTAAAAATTCTTACATACCATACTGTTCTGTGAATTTGTAGAGAAAAATGGTAATTCTTCAGTGATTAAATGTATTTCCCACAGCTATCGTTAGAACTGAAAAGATTAGCTCTAATTTTAAAGTTTTCTTTGGCTCTATTTTCTAAAAACTATTCGCAAAATCTATATTCATGTTTCATCTTTGCATGTTTGCCTCAAGCCATAGTGATGGTTCTTCTCAGTATCCTTTGCAGGCCCTTCTTCCTCACTTTCCCCTTAAACGTTGACTTTGCTTTTCAAACTCCTTCTCTTCTCATTCTGTCTATTCTCCCTGGATGTTGCCTGTGATTTCAACTGTCATTTACATGCTGGTGACTCCCGATTCCACATCCCCAGCCCAGAAATCGCACCTTTACAATCATAGTTTATATTCTCCTGCCTCTTGACTTCTCCTCTTAGAAATCTCACAGGTGTCTCCAACTTACAGGCCAGAATTGAAACACATCATGTTTTCATCCTCAAGCTCCTTCTCAGTTTATGCTTTCTCATCTCAGTGAACGGCAGCCAGTCACCCAAGGCAGCATTTGATTTGATCTGATAGTCTTCCAAACTTGCAGCCTCTAAAACTGAAATCTTAGACGTGCTGCTCACTGCTCTACATTGGTATTCTCATTGTTAAAAAAGTTCCTCTATTTCCCACAGAAATTATTATAATAGCCTCCCAACTCTTCTCCCTGCCTTGAACCTTGTCCCTACTTTCCTCTAGAATCATCTTTTAAAAGGGTCCATCAGATCATCTCACATCTTGCTTAATGTTCTCCGATGACTGCAATGTCCTCGGGATGAAATTCCGATTTCCCAGCCTGTCACATGAAGCCTCGAGAATCTAGGTCTTGACTTTCTCTTGAGATTGACCTGCCACTTATGCCCAATTAGGTACTTACTACTCTGGCTCAGACCTTTAGTGCTAGCAATTCCCCAAGTTACCCTCACATTCTCATCAAAATGCCTTTCTATGAATACTGGACCCTTTGTTTAGAATGGATTTAAATTCGAATCATTTTGATTCTTTGGCTATTATTCAGTTATGAAATATGTGTTGAGTGCCTACTCTGTGTCAGGATCTAACTTCAGGGTTCACAGTGGTAGTCAAACAAGACATCATTCATGCCATGCAGGCTTACAATATAGTGAAGAAGACAGACATTAAATAAGTAATGCCACTCTTTCCCTTGAGAAGTACTCTCAGACCACAGATGTGTAGACACCAGGATCCCGCTGACCAAAGCTGGTAGTTCCATGTTAGACAGAGGTCAAGAGCTATGTACACACCTATAGCCCTTCGAGGACCAGCAGTTCCTGCCCTCTTATTTCTCTCAAAAATCTGCTTTCTAGTATAAACCTACCATAGTTTGGCTTTGTCTTAAGCCTTCATTTCTATTTAGATTCTAAGAGACTTGGTCCTGTGCAGACCTATGAAATAGAATATTTACCATTGAATCACTTGTCAGATTTCCATGCAGGGAGCTTTGTCTAATGCATTTTTGGTACTGGACATCTAGTATAGTGCTTTATATATGATAGAAGCTCAAAAAGCATTCTAGGGTGAAGAATCATAGCCACATTCCAAAGCATGGTTGTTAGAAAATATGGATGATTTGCGGAAATGTGAGTATCTTAATATAGTTGGAATACGGAGGGTTTGGGAATAGTGATAACTCTGAAAGAAAGATGAAACCAGGTCATGAAGCCCTTAGCAGGAGTGTTAGGAGAGGAAAATGGATTGCAGCATAATATTGGATCATAAGCTTCTTGAATATAGGAAAAGTTCATTTTTATATTCTCTATAGTCCAATGCACACTTATAAAAGTCAAGTAATCAATCAAAATGGGTAATAATTAATTTAATGCAAAATGAAAACATTTGTCATGCAGAATTAAATAGAAAATGTATGCTGGTTTTAATGTCTGATTTATAAGGTGAAAACCTTTCCCTTTCTATAAGTTGGTTAGATAATTAAGTAGTGAAAGACAGTAGGAAGGCATATGATTTTCTCCTGTGGTGGATGATACTAGATTAAATAACTTGGATTTAAATATCTACAGCTCTCCGTCATAAAACTAAAGAATGTTTAGAAAAGTTAAAAAAAAAAAAGAAAAGTTCATAATTTGGAGAGTTCACTACAGTTATAGCATCTGTGAAACGGAAACATTTGCCTTCTTTCTAACTGATAAGAAGAGGGATCGGTGAGATAAATACTTAGCACTATTTAGACGAATGGTGCTATGAAAAACTCCAGCAAGACTGTTAAAATAAACGATCTTATTCCTAATCATTGTGATTTTTGAAAATATTATTTATATTACACAGTGGTCGAGGCATAGGAATTTAATCATTTCTGCCAAATGGCTGAAGATAAATATGAAACAAGTTGTACATAGGGACAGGGACTGAGTAAATTTAGGAGAAAACCAGTCCTAATGAAGATAAAGTAACATTTTCTAAGTGTGCCCAGGCATCAAAAAGCTCTGAATTAACTAACATTTTATACATGGTGAGAAGAGGAAATGATTGACAAACCTTCTCCTTCAAAAAATTCAGAGCAAATTAAAAAAAAAAAGCTACAATCTCTAAGTTGTGAAATGCTAATGAATTGAGGCATTTAAGGCAGCGCCACAAAGCCTTGCACAGAAGGAGGACAGTACTGAAATCTCATGAACTTCTGTGCTGTCTTTGTACAATATAATGCTGTTGCATTTTAATAAAAATTAAAAACTGAGTGCTTATATTAAGCTGTATTCTATGTGTTTATTAATGTAATCTTCACAAACATTCTCTGGGACTTGATTATTCCTGTCATTTTACAGGTAAGAAAGTTGAGGCATCGATTAAGTAACTTACCCCACATCACACTGGTAGGAAGTGGTATAGGCAGCAGTCATATGGATCATAGCCCAGACCATGGTTTTGGCTAGAATGACCCTTTTGTATGTTAAAAAAAAAAAAAAATCTCCTCCAGGTGGATGAATTGCAAAAGGATAAACCAAATAAGGAAGAATTGCCCTTCTGCCAGACCTATTCTAAGAGGTTTTCCCCCTGAAGACCAATTATGGAAGGGTTTCCCTCTTTGTGGGCTGACAGTTCTTTTGGTCTGGATCCATGGCTTGGCCAAAATCACCGAGGGTTAGATTTTTGCTACCATTTATGCACCTGCAGGCAGAAGATAGAACCTGGGCAATTTCAGTCGAGATCCCAGTTATAACTCCTTGGTCATCTTGCCTGATCCATGAGAAGTGAGCTATTTGCCGGGGAGAAGCATCGAGATGATCCCATCCACCTCATCCTTCATAATAACAAATCAACTACCTTGTGGATCTTACCTCCTAATTAAAATCTAAAGCCTCTCCTGTGTCCACTGCTCTGCTTCAGACATTCATCATCATTTGACTCATCCTCTGCTTTTTAAACCTCATTAATGGTTCCTCTTTATTTATAGGGTCCAAATTCTGTAGCACGATTTCAAAAGTCCTTTGCATGCTCTTCCCGCCCCCATTTCCCTGGATCATCCCTCTGAGATCTGACCTCCTTCACCCTCTCAGACTTTTGCACGTTTTGTCTCTTCTCCCTAGAATGCTCATGGACACGATAGGTGCCTACTCACTCTGTCCTCTGAATAGTTTCAGGACACTGCCAGCAAAAGTTAGTTCCTTCCTTGATGCCAGCGTGGCCCCTGTTGTAGACTTTATCACACTGTAAGGCCTTCATGTGCATTTCTCTTTCCTTACTGAACTGGTTGGAGGCAGGGGCTATATCTCAGGCATCTCTGCATTCTCAGCAAACAGATGGAAAGCTGATTTCTTAGTGTGACCCCATAAATTCTTATTGCTTGATTCACATAATGACTGTTTGCCTTGTTTATAGCAGTCTATTTTTGTACACAAATAAAGCACCTTTTCCTGAAATAGCGAGTTGTAAGTTATTAAAAATTAGCATAAAAATTGAATGATAGAACAAAAGAAGATGAAGACGGGTGAATCGGCAAATCAGCATATCACAGACTCCCAAAGTAGGTGCTCTTTTGACTATTACCATCATTTAACAGATGATACAGTTGAGGCCCACATTAAATAACTTGCCCCAAATCAGACAGATTGCAAGTGGTAAAGGCAGTCCTAATCCAGAGCTCAGACTCCTTTTCAACTAAAAAAAAAAGCAAATGAAAAGACACAATAAAGACATTACAAAAGGCAAGTCCAGTGGACCAATAATATATGAAGAAGGAGGAAACAGCAGTAGAAGGGAAAGGAGAAAAACTAATCATGCACGCTTACTCTGTAACCAGCACTTTAAATGTATGCACTCATTTACTCCTCATACTAACCACATAAGGCAGAAATTGTTATTCTCCTTATTTTATAGGTGAGGCACAGAGAGTAGAAGAAACAGACCCAAGTTCACATAACTAGTAAGTGATAAAAGAAAACTGAGCCCAGGAAACCCAAGTCTAAAGTGCAGCCATTCAGGACTTCCCTGGTGATGCAGTGGTTACAAATCCGCCTGCCAACGCAGGGGACACGGGTTCAAGCCCTGGTCCGGGAAGATCCCACATGCCCCAGAGCAGCTAAGCCCGTGCGCCACAACTACTGAGCCTGTGCTCTAGAGCCTGCGAGCCACAAGTACTGAAGTCCATGTGCCTAGAGCCTGTGCTCCGCAACAAGAGAGGCCACCACAACTAGAGAAAGCCCACACACCGCAAGGAAGACCCAATACAGCCAAAAATAATAAATAAATACATAAATAAATAACTTTATTTAAAAAAAAAAGTACAGCCATTCAAACACTACCCACACAACTCAAGTTTTGGTCACACAAACTAATCATTCAGAAAGAACATTTCATCATCTATATTTACAATCCTAACTGAACTCCTATGGCCAAAGCACATAAACAAACTATGTATTTCCCGAAGAGTCCATGGTATTTACATATTGTCATCAGAGGTAATTTCTGTCTACTTTTCTATCTCCCTTTTTCCCCCCTCTTTCTTTTCTTCTTCATCACTTGGGGTGGGTGAGTTGAATTTTTAACATAAATTTTCCCTTTGTGTAGTATAAAGAAAAATACAGGTGAAAAACTTACAACATTTTAAGAAAATTCAAATTCAGTATCTAAAACCATTAGGCCAAAAATCCATAAGTATCCATTAATTCATGTAACTGTACCCAGTATATACCAGAGGTTTTATATATATATATAAAAAAAAAAAAAAAAAAAAAAAAATATATATATAAAATATATGTTTTATAAGTAAACACCATATAAATAAGACCTGTAAAAATATTATGTTTCTTAGTATAAATATTGTATGAGAGAGGATCCTTTTGGCATCAATCCCATGCTTCTCTGAGCTGCTGAATAGAATTTTACAGTCCAGGGCTATTCAAAGTGTCTTCCTTAGACCAGTTACATCAATATCACCTGATGAATTTGCAAGAAATGCAAATTTAGGCCCCTCCTTAATACTCCTGATTCCTGGGAATGGAGAAGAGGAATCTGTTTTAGCAAGCTTTCCAAGTGATTCTTAGCACCTGAAAGTTTGAGAAGAACTGCTATAGTCATGTAATATTAGAATTTTATAAGTGCACAGGACCATAAAAAACAGATGTATTACTTTTTAGTAGAGAGATGTCCAAACCAACTTTATAGATATACTTAAAGATCATTACAGAAGAAAGAAGAATTGGAAGGATATGCATTTCAAAACAGATGTCCATCTCCTACACAGATGCAAAACCTCCTTGGTTAACACAAAACCTTCTGTCATCTTCAGAAGGTCTCAAGGCCATTCACCTTAATGCAGATAGGAAAAATTATCAAATCATGTTTCCATTCTTAAAACACAGCTTGCTTTCCATGAAAGTGGTAGAAAATGCTTTTCCTTAATGTTTATATGAGCGCTGGAGACATTTTAGTTGAACAATTCAGTAAACAACTTTGGGCAATTTTGACCCTGTTATAGCTGAAAATTGCAGGAGTCGACTTAGGACAAGACTACAGGAATAAGAATTCACTTACATGTTAGCATTTCCTAGCTCAGCTCATTAGATGGCATGAATTATTCATGTACAATTCAATTAAACACTGTTTATTTTTTACTAATTCACTCATCATTTTGACACAAATTTTTTTAAAAAGGAAGAGAAAAAGAAAGGCAGGAAGGAGGAGGCAATAATATAATACTTTGGTTTGAAAAACATCCCCCAAAGTACAAAATAATCCCAATTGTCATTGCAGAACAAAAACATTTTATGTAAATTATGTGGTTTGGGATAAGATTGATGTTGTAAGAAATGCGGGGGAGTATGGGTGTGTGAGATTTCAGCACTGTCATATTGAATGGGGTGAGAAGAAAAAAATTATATTCTGTTCTAATTATATCAAACTATATTAGTTTAAACTGAAATAATAATTTCAATGCTTTGAAAGAGTAATATTTTGATCTGTCTATGTAATTTTATCGGTTAGTTGTAACTGATAAAAATAGATTTTGGTTGCCGAAATTCGAACAGTGTTTGAGGTAGAATTTCATTAGAAATGGAAAGGATTAGAAACGAGAGCAGCTACTGTGAATCACTTTGAGGCATCATTCAATTTAGATGCAAGAAAATTGGGTGACGACTTCTATTTGGAAATCTATTAAAATTTGTTTTATGACTATAAACTGTGTATTATCTATGTCTTTTATTCTTATCTCTCAATAAAGTCATGAGATGATGAATTTCACATACAGATAATGCTCTAGGTAACATTATTAATAAAAATAATAGTAGTGGAAGGTATATCGATACTTATCAGAACTTATGCTTTACCAATAACATAAACAATAGTTACCTTTACAAATGCAACGATTTTCAAGGAGATTGTTGCTAGATATAAGGAGTTCATCACAAAATCCATTAGATTCCACCAATCGTGGATGTAATCTTGAAGTCCACCATCCCACATTTGTTTAATTTCTCCCCATATAAAACCTGCAATTATAGAAAGATTCACATAAGTGTGATTTTTCAGTCAAATCACTAAAAACAGAGATCTATAATTAGGAATTAGAGAATCTTGGAGCTTCCAGAGACTACATAGTTACTCTAAATGCAATACCTATTTTTATAGGTAGTAATAATTGAGTCCCAGTCAGATTTTAAAACTTTCAGGACATTTAGCTAATTTGTAGAGAATTCTCTTGGGGCAGCTTCACTTTCTTTTATCCATTTGATAAATTAATAAGGTTGTGCAGTTTTGAACCAAACTATAATTCCTCTATACCTATATATCTTTCTCTGGAAAATATCATAACATTTATTTGTAAACAGATACTTGAAGATATTTTTCCTCCCAAATCAAAATGACTCAAAGATTTATGAAAGAACAGTGTATCTAGTGAACATAACTGGCTTAATGCCTTTAAGCAGGGTACTTTGTGGTGTTTTTGTAAGCACTTAACACCTTCAGAGATCTGATTTCAGTTCTGGACAGAAGACGATTATAGCATTCATACTTCAGTAAAAGACCTTATATCTAGCAGTAGCTTTAAAGCAATATCCAGAGAAAATAAAAATCACTTTCCTTTATCATGGTCATGTTTTTAATAGGAAAGATTTTATTTTCAAATATTAGAAAGCACTTAAAAATATCACTGTATATCATTATTCTATTTCCATAATCGTATTAAATTTTTATAAATCTATTTTTACAGCCTAATGATGAGAAAGAAAAATATCAAAATATCTAGAATCAGGAAATATTAAAAGGATAAATATGATTTTAAAGCTATATTAAAGCAAGAAAACAACAAGACTTTTAAGGTAATGATAGTTTGAAACATCGAATGTGGGTAGCACAGAGTTTCATATCTGTCCTACACTAAAAGCAAGAAAAAGTCATATAACTATAGAATTATGACTTTTCATGAATCCATCAGAGAGGTGAGAAACCAAGGAGCCTATACTTCAAAGAAAAACAGGTTCCTGTAAAGAGAGTGACGAGGTGAGCATTAGCTCCCCTGTGGCAGAGTGCAGGGTAAGAAACACTGGCATCAGGCTTCCCTGGTGGCGCAGTGGTTGAGAGTCCACCTGCCGATGCAGGGGACACTGGTTCGTGCCCCAGTCTGGGAAGATCCCACATGCCGCGGAGCGGCTGGGCCCATGAGCCATGGCCGCTGAGCCTGCACGTCCGGAGCCTGTGCTCCGCAACGGGAGAGGCCACAACAGTGAGAGGCCCGCGTACCGCAAAAAAAAAAAAAAAGAAACACTGGCATCATACAAGAGAGAAGGACAATTTCAGAAAACCTTCTTAAACAAACTTCTAAAGGCTAAGTGTGAGCTAGTGTGAGAGGACAGAACCCCTGGGACACAGACACAGGGGGGCGTCCACTCACTAGTAAGCTCATCTCCATAGACCTCAGCACTGCTCAAGAGGCTGGTTCTGGGGGCAAGGCACAAAGCCCTACCCAAGCTCCTCTCCCCTATGAAGCAGAACATGTTAGCCCTGTGGGAGAAGCAGAAAACAGTCCAGGGCCTAGAGTTTATACTAATATCCTTAGAGGCTTCCTACCACAGGAGGAAGGGCAGGAAACTCTCTTCGGCACATGACCTGCACAGTTTTACTGCCTTGAGAAGGAAGATTTGGATCACTGAGAAGCTCCACCCCTGATGCCCAGGTGTAGTTTTACCTAAGTCTGACCCTAGACCTGGACAACAGACAAGCTTCCTGCCTCACATCACCAGGCTGACAAACACCGAGTAAGAAGCAGAAGCTGACAACCACTAGAGGAGTGGCAAACATATGGATAGAAAGTCCCTCAGAGGCAGAGGTGCTCAAGGAAGGCCAAAAGCTGTGGGTGGAGCAGGAATTCTGATAATAATCCTCTTCCCCACTTGTCTTAGTCTGTTTAGGCTGCTATAACAAAGCATCATAGATGAGTTGTTTTATAAACAACAGAAATTTACTTTTCATAGATCCGGAGGCTACAAGTCTAAGATCAGGGTATCAGGGTCAGGCTCTGGTGAGGGCCCTCTTTCATGTTGCAGACTGCTGACCTCTCTGTGGATCCTCACTTGGCAGAAAGAAAGCGAGCTAGCTCTCTGGTCTGTTCTTATAAGGGCACTAATCCCATTCTTGAGGGCTCCACGCTCATGACCCAATTGCCTCCCAAAGGCTCCACCTCCAAAAACCATCACATTGTGAGTCAGGATTTCAGTGTGTGACTTTTGGGGGCGGGGGGAGAAAGACTTGTAGCCCATAACACCACTCTAAGCAGAAGTGTATGGTAGGCTGAAACTGATTGTAGCAACAATGAAACCCAAACCCAGCTCAGCTCCTGATTATAATGTGTCAAATTCCTGCACTAATGTTCTAGCAGAAGAGGTATGTCCATTTTCAAGCATAAATGCTATACACTTCTGTCTAGCCTTCTGCATAGGCAGAATAAATACCCTCACAAAATACACACATATGAGCACATGAACACCGTGTTACATCATACTCAAGCTGTTCAAAAAAAGATAAAGAAAAATTATTGAAGACATCACAGGGAGGGGGTGGGTGGAAATAAAAGACGTGTTGCATACAAAGGAAGAAATATAGGACTGATATCAAACTGATTGTCTGAAACCACGCAGGACAGACTGACATCATTAAAGTGCTGAAAAGAAAAAGAAGTCAATCCAGAATTCTATACACAGCACAAATATCTCTAATAAATGAAGGGTAGTGAAAAACTTTTTTCAGACAATCAAAAATTCAGACAGAGACCCATGCTACAAGAAATGCTAAAGGGATATTTTTTAGGCAGAACGTATATGATATTAAACAGAAATTTAGGTTTATAAAAAGAAATAAAAATCTCTATTCAGGAACTGTTAAAATGAATATAAAATAGTTTTTCTTATTTCAAATTGCTCTAACAGATCATTGACTGCATAAAGCAAAAATAGCATATAGCAAAAATGTATTGTGGTTTATAACATGTATAACATATGTAAAGGTAAAACATATGACAACATTAGCACAGAAGATGAGGAAGAGGAATTAGAAACATACTATCATAAGGTTCTTATACTACATGTAAAGCAAAATATTATTTGAAGTTTGACTGTGATAAATTAAATTTTACGTTGTAAATCCTAGGGCTTTCTCTCAAAATATTTTTAAATGCATAAATAGAGATGTTCACATAGAATAAAGATGCAAAACATAACTATATGACAATTCATCGATAGGTTAAACATAAATGAATAACAATGTTACCATGAAATACTAATTCAAAAAAACTTAGATGGTTATATTAATGTAAGACTAGATATATTTCAGAAGAAGTGTTACTGGGTATGTACAGGGATATAACATAGGATAAAAAGGTCAAATCACTCTGAAGACAGAACAGTCCTAAATATGAATGCAGCTAACAAAATAACCTGATAATGCAAGATGCCATAGAATTTAAATACAAATAGAGAAAGGTACAATTATAGTCTTTACTTTTCCTCTCTATAAGTAAATGAATCAGTAGGCAGAAGTTTAGTAAGAACATAGAAGTTCTGAACAACACTATCAACAGTCTGAAAATAGCAGGAGATAACACATATATATGGAATCTAAGAACAAAAAAAAAGGTCATGAAGAACCTAGGGGTAAGATGGGAATAAAGACACAGACCTACTAGAGAATGGACTTGAGGATGTGGGGAGGGGGTAGGGTAAGCTGGGACGAAGTGAGAGAGTGGCATGGGCATATATACACTACCAAACGTAAAATAGATAGCTAGTGGGAAGCAGCCGCATAGCACAGGGAGATCAGCTCGGTGCTTTGTGACCACATAGAGGGGTGGGATAGGGAGGGTGGGAGGGAGGGAGACGCAAGAGGGAAGAGATATGGGAATATATGTGTGACTGATTCACTTTGTTATAAAGCAGAAACTAACACACCATTGTAAAGCAATTCTACTCCAATAAAGGTGTTAAAAAAAAAAAAAGAAAATAGCAGAAGACATTTTTTTCAAGTGCACATGGAACATTCACTAAGATAGACTATGTAACTTCAACATATTTATACATGTTGAAATGTTTAAATGTTTACCATGACAACATAGCAAACAAAAACTCAATTATAAAATGTACCTCAAAATCCCCAAATATTTTGCAATTAAATAATATGCTTCTGATAACTTTTGGTTAAAGAGAAATTAACAGAATAATTAGATAATATTTTGAAATGATTACAAATGAAAATACAACTGAAAGTTCTGTGATGCAGTTAACACAGTAGAGTAGAATGCTTAATTAGAAAACAATAAAGGTCTCAAATCAGTGATCTCAGCTTCAACGGTGACACTGGAAAGAAGAGCAAATTAAACCCAACACAAACAGAAGAAAGAAAATTTTAAAGCAGAAATCAATAAATTTTAAAATATAAAACTTGAGAAAAGTCAATGAAAACAGAATCTAATTCTCTGAAATGGTCACTAAAATTGATAAAACTCTAGCTAGAATGGTCAAGAAAAAAAAAAGAAGATATAAATGATCCATATCAGAAATGAAAGAAGGGACATAAATACAGATCTTACAGACTTCATAAGGATAAGTGATAAAATGAACTTGATACTCATAAATTTCACAACTTAAATGAATTGGACATTTTCCCTGAAAGACATAACCTTCCTAACTCACATAAGAGGACATAGAATAACCTGAATTGTCCTATATTCATTAAAGAAAATGAATTCATAGTTAAAAACCTTCCAGCAAAGAAAAATTCAGGTCCAGTTCCTTCATGGTGATTCTACCAAACATTTAAGGAAAAAATAATGCCAGTGCTAATCAAACACTTACAAAATTACAAGAAAAAATGTTTAAAAAGTATGTATTATTCTGATAAAAAGTCATACAAAAATAATACAAAGAAAACTACACGCTAATAACCCTTTGAATATACATAAAATCCTCAACAAATATTAGTAAATTAAATACAGTAATATATAAACTTAATAATAAGTCATGACCAAATGCTGTTTTTCCCAGAAATGCAAGATTGTTTGAAAATTTAAGAATCAATGTAATTTGTCACATCAACAGATATTTTGGGAAAAAAATCTTTTCATTAAATGCAATAAATCTTTTCAATAGATACAATAAATTCATTTGACCAAATTCAACATCCATTCATGACAAAAACTTTCAGCAAAGTAAGACTAGAAGGAAAATGTCTTGATTTGATAAAGGACATCTATAAAAATCTAAACTACCATCATACTTATTTTGTAAAGGGCCAGAAAATAAATAATTTAGGCTTTGCAATTAATGAATGAGTGTGGCTTTGTTATAATGAAACTATTTATAAAAACTGTCAAAGGTCCAGATTTGGCCTACTGGGCCACAGTTTGTCCTATATCTTGATTGTGGTGGTGCTATATGATTGTATGTGTTTGTCAACATTTTATATACCTGTGCCCTAGAAAAAAAAATTTTAAAGTAGTGGCAGCAAAAATTTAAAATAGTAAAAAATTAAAAATATTTAAAAGTAGTGGCAGCAAAAATTATGAGAGATTGATGCTGGACAATGGAAATACAGTTAGATTAAAAATAAAGAAATATAATAAAGTATCAATTGTGATATATTGCTGATAGATGTGTTTGAAAATTTGCACAATAGAACTTGGGAAGAAATAAAAATATATTAGTCCATAATTATTTAGTGAAAACTAGCAATAGTTATTTAATATTATTAATGAAGTTTTATTTTAAAATTTTGTCACATTTAAATTAAGAACCCAGATGAGGACTGATTTCAGTTGAATTAAATATAGAGTGCATTTTAAAGTCTGCTGTAGACCGCAGCTTTATTCTAGATTTGTTGTTTATATCCAGCTTCCCCTTTGAAGTTTCTTTCATAAATAAATCTCTCTTGAGAACTCAGATAAAATTGGGCATATTTGAGGAGGTGATAATGATCACTGACTCCTTATTCAAGAAAGGAATATATAAGATCTGAATAAGATGTGATACACGCACTGATTTTATAGCTTGTGGGAAACTTACAATTTATATTATCCAATGAGGAAAAATGCTCGGTACTCATGGAAATACTCTCCTCTCGCACATTCGTGGTGCTTTTTCCTACTGAGCCTGGGTACAGTCTCAGAATCCAGCACGCAGCCACGACCTACATAAGAAATCTAAGGCCCCAAAAGGCCGTGTGACTAAAGCCAGTTAGTGGAGAAACCAGAACAGGGTACCAGTCTCCTTAGGCAGTGCTCTTAGACAATATTTTCTTACTCCTGAGATTTCACAATGGAGCTTATTTGTTTTGTTTTGCTTGAAACTTTGCCAGTTCCCAGAGATGAGGCAATGTGAGCATTGCAATCGTTGATTGAACAAATGCATTCAAGTTCACTTTCATCAGAAGGCATAGTGATAATGTCAGGTGAGTGAAGTGCCAGGCTCAGCTCAACTAGTAATCAGCTTTGTAATCTTAGCCAGTAGTTTCGTCCTTCTAGGTTTCAGTTATCTCACTTCAAAAAAAGAAAGGTTTGGATTATCACAGAATTCTATAGATAGAATCATACAAGAAGTATAATTCTACCTTAATGGTATAAATAAACCAGACACTGATTCTTCCTGTTTGAATTATCAATATTCTATGAAAATCAGTCATCACAATAGCTGACATGAGAGATTAAAAACTTTTCTGTACCAGAGGGCACACACCAGCTTTGGTCTGCCCCAGAAAGCAGAAATTGGATCTATGATATGAAAGTTACAGAATGGAACCTTCTTGCCCAATGTAAGGGGGATTCTCTGGCAGAGTTGTCCCCAAACTGGAATGGATCACCGTTTGAGGTTACGATTCCAATGCAGAGCCTGGAATGTCTTTGATCAGTCATACTCCAGAGAAATTCTAGCAATGAGTGGAGACTTGTTCCACTGGACCTCTAAAGGTCATTCCAACTTTATGAATTTGTGATTCTGGTGTTTTCAAATTTTGTATGTATTTTAAAATGAAATATATTTAAAAATACCTAGTAACCAACAAGAGGGTTTATATTTTATTTCCCTTTATAGATAAATTGTATCTCTTTTTTTGCTTCTACCCAACTGGAAAGCCAAATGGAATTATTAACAGTCACCAAAATACGGAACTTCAAATATTTTGTGGGTAATTATGTAAAAGAGTAAAGACACCAAAACTAACTGCTTTAGAGGGGAAGGAGGTATGAAGAAGCAGTTAGGAGCTCAGTAGAAAGCAGCATTTTAACCTGGAGCCCCTTAATATCTGAGCAGACTCTGTTCCTATTAGACAGGTTCAAGGACATGACACTTCAATAGATGACCTCTAAGGTTTCTGAAGAAGAGTCAAAACAAAAACTCACAATTCGGATATATTACAGTTCCTTTGGAGTTCAAAGAATAGACATAAAATCTAACTTTCTGAATTATACAAAAATTATATTACTTCTGACTTTGGAAAGGCACAACTGTATGGAAAAAACAGAGATCCTGATGAAATTGAGGACTTAGCCCACTGTTTTTTCAACCTGCACTGTAAATGAGACTGTCAGTCAGTGCTGGTTGGCTAATGGGGTTTGGGATCTTTTGTTTTCAAAGCACCAGATTGTAGGATCACTTCCTACAGCTGTTTGGATCACTTCCTGTATCACCACATCCTTGTTTGATGACATTGATTTCTATTTGTTATGAGCACGTTAGTGAAATACCAAGTTTCCTCTCTTCTGGCAATATTCACCGAAATTTTAGAAGAAACAAGCCTTTAGAAAAACTAGAAGGTGCTATTAACTGGCTGAAAAATGCATCCAGATAGTAAACTATTCATGGTAACTAAAAAACGACTAAAGCAAACAAAGCTTGAGGGAGCTTCTGTCAGAAAATGTTTGTGCTGGTCCCACAATGGGAACATTTCAAAGTTATTCTCTGCTGTTTATAAACAGGTGACATGATTTCTCAGCGTGGTGGTATCACGTGAGAAATGTGTAGTTCTGCACACAGACCTCTTGCCTCTCCTTTCTTGCTGTCAGTATTTACACGAAGAGTAAATAACCCCAAGCAAAGAGCAAGTCAGCTTTTCACCTGCGACACCTCTGAGGGCTTTTTACAGCAGCCCCAGAGCTAGTCAAGGGATCTGGCCTTGGAAGTCCCTTGACAGAACACTGAAATCCATGCTGTGGCACCAAATCAATGAAGATAAAGGCAACAAAAAAGAATTCTTCTTCACTGGAGGGCTTTATTCCCTCCCCAAGTCAGGAAACAAAAAGGTAGTTTCTTGTCAAAATTCTGCTTTTGTTCAAAAAGAAATCTAAATGCAGTTATTTTACTCAGTAGAGACTCACATTATGCCAGACCCATAAGAGGCACTAAGTTAAGGGGCGGCTGCTACGGTCTCAGCGTTATTCTTAAAACCCAAACAAAGATAAAGAGCCTCAAGTATCCAGTCTCTGAAGAGAGCGTCCAGAAGACTGTAGCCCTTCCCGCTGGGGATTCCTAAGAGGGGTGAGGACCATATCTGCTACCAGCCTCCTGCCACACTCTAACCCATGGGTTATACAGAGAGAACGCTGGGAAGAGGGGCCCAGAGAGCTGTGAGCTCAGGGCACTACAGTTCGGGTGCTAGCGACCTCACCAGCACCGCCACCTCCCTAGGTCAAGTGTAGGAGACTCCACGAAAATGCCTCATAATGGTGGGGGGTTTCTGCAAGGAGAAGCTGGCTCTTATCGCCTGCTGGGGCGTCTTCCCAAGCACTTGGGCTGCTCATCTCTCACTTGGCTTGCACTTCAGGGAAAACAGACAAACAGTGGGTCTTGGCAGCTGGGGAGCTGGCAGCAGCCTGGCCCTTTGCCATCTGAGGTAGTAAGGTTTTGTGATCTCTTGGGGGAGCTAGTGCTTATCACAGGAAGAAGCCGGGCTTTAGCCATCTTGTTCTCCTGCCCTTGCTAGGGTCACAGGACCCATAAAGGGGCCAACTGCTGGTTATGAGTTCCCAGACTGGAAGATGTCAGGCAGAGCTGAAACTCGGATTCAGAGAACTATGTAGTGTGCAGGTACACAGAACCCTCTAAAGAACACTCATGGACCCATCAGGAGAGTCAGAGGGTCAAGACCTGTCACATAGGCCACTCAGTATAAGCCAGAGATGCAGACAACCAACAAGGGAAGAGCTATGACCAGGGTACCAAGGAGGTAAAGAAGACTTCTAACTTTTCCTGACATCCTTCTTGCCTGCAGAAACCAAGCAATGGGGAGAACAGAAAAAGTCTATGTCCCTCCTTCCATTCCAGTGTTGGGGTTGAAGGATGAGCAAAAAATGAATATTTCCGGGTCCTTTGATACACGTGTCAGGCCTTTGTGGGGAAGAGGAGAGCTTTCAACTGATGGTAAGCTTCCTGTTTTAAACTGAACTGGGACAACTTTTTAATAACTCAGAATTTCAGGAACTTGATGATATCTACTAGACAGATAGTGAAGGGAAAGGATATCTGGTGCAGGGTGGTTGGGAAGAGTGATTGGAAAAGGTTAAACCATTTCATGTTTAGATTCTAATGAGTCTCAATTCCTCAATAAAGCTGAAATCAGAACTAAATACGAAACCTGCATAAAATTTGGTTTCTAGAATTGTTTCTTAATCTTTAGTGTTTAAAGACCTCTGAAATTTCTGAATCAGTCAACCAAGGGGAGAATTCAAAATCTAAATTTTTCATAAAAAATTCACAGTGATTATGATTATAGTCAGCACACCACGTTTCAAGAAACACTGACTGAAAGGGACAGTGAATAGTCAAATATGCTTAGTTTGAAGACATCTAAAAACCCTTAAATTACTACAGTTTTGATAGCATCAATTTAACATTTAGAGGAAAAAAATTAGGAATATACAATTAAGGAAGTACACGTTTTGAAACTGTGCCAAGGAACGATACGATGCTAGTTTTCGATTAAGATGTAAAAAATGTAGAACTTTAGAATTCTAGCTCATCTGATTGCTTACGACATAAATGTAGTAACTTAAAAATCAAGCAAACTGTTTCTGTCAATGAAGTATTAGACTTTTTATAGGATTTCTGTTTAATTTAAAATTTTCCATGAGAACTAAGGCATTATATATTTATGTAGGTGGAAAAACAATGAATAAATATTCCTCAAGTCTTTTCTCAAGTCACCTTTTCAATGAGTGGCAGTAGTTGCTTAATAAATATTTTTGAATGAGTGATTATTAATTTTTCACTATGAAGATTACCACTTTCCACCTACTATAAGCTTCTATTTTTGAAACAATTATGTGCAAAAGAAATATAATTATCTCTTTACATCTCCTGAAGACCCGCTACACACACACATACATATACACACCAATGAAAGGTTAAAAAATTAATGATATCCCTGGAAGCAAGGAAATTTAGCTTTAGGTCTTAGCAAGTGAACATGGAAACTAAAAGGGAAGCATCTCAAGGTCATGGCAAAGGACTTTATTCTTTCTTTCTTAGAATAGAAATTGCTTCTGTCAGTATTAGGGAACCACTTATAATGCATGTGTTTTAGAACAGAGACCGGTGGTGGAGATGAAGCTGGAGGGTCCTGCTGATGTGATGCTGATGGCAACGGTAAGTTCGCTATATTAACAAGCATCACCTTCAATAGGAAATTATATCAAGTGTGTATCTCAAAGAGCGTTGCATCTTTAATAAATTAGAAATGTGGTCCACTCAAATTTGACCTTTGTAAAGACTTAAGTTGGTAAACAGAGGCAGAGAAAACAGGAAAGAAGTCTGTGGATGGAAACTTGAGTTCTTGGGCTGTTTTTGCCCCTTTAAATTCCATTTCTCACACTCCAAGGGCAGTATTTATGGAGGATAAAGGCTCTAGCTCTGGAGTTAGACTAACTGGAGTTTGAATCTAGTATCTACCATTTGTTAGCTCCTTGAACCTAGGAAAGTGATCTCACTTTTCTAAGCCTATTTCCTCTCTATTAAATGAGATACTAACATCATTTATTATAAATAAAGTGGAGTTGACTATGAAGTTCAAATAAAAACACACACTTGAATCACTTAGCACAGTGCCAAATTTCTTAGTTTCTATTGTTATTACCACCATCACTACTATTACCATTATTGTTAGTCTGAACTAACAGAAACCACTTCCAGCTTACCTCCAATCTTTTACTCTGACCCTCCCTCCTTTCCTATGTACTCCTCTTTTCCTATCTTTTCTCCTCTTCCCTTGAACCATCAGAACCACGGTCGTCAAACATTCTCCCAAGGCCGGTAGATTTCACTTGTTGGTGCACCAAATTTGTATTGCATGTATGACCTAAAAGACTTAATTTTCTCTCCACAAAAGATGTCAATACTCTGTAATGGCTTATATGGGAAAAGAATCTAAAAAAGAGTGGGTATATGTATACGTATAACTGATTCACTTTTCTGTACACCTGAAACTAACACAACACTGTAAATCAACTGTACACCAATAAAAAGTATTAAAAAATAGAAAAGGAAGTCATTTGGTCAGCAATAGTATGTGCACACTGAACAATTTACAACTATATGAATATTTTGTTGTTTGAGATTTTACTGTGTTAGTCTTGATAAATCTTGGTAAAGATGACTTTAAAATTTCTTCCTCACAAATAAACAGGAAAATGAGAATTCTATGTCATGCTGCAATGATTATCTGGTTTTCTGGAAAATTAAAACATCCCTTTAAATTAATAAACGGATGTTCTGCAGCTGTGTTTGAGTTGTCTATATGTGTCTGAAGCTAGTTTGCTGAGGTGGTTAGAATACCTAGCCAAGGGAGAGAGTGGGGAAATCTATAGACTTGTTTCTTATAATTCTTAATTTGGGGGAAGATGGATATAATTGAAGGGTGAGGCTGAAAGTACAAGTACCTGAAGCCATGTGATCTTAATGCCTTTTAGACAAAAGATGAAGAAATGGTCATAGGAAAGAAAGAATATATATAGGATTGTTTGTCCCTGAGTCTTTATCTAGATGTGAACGTGATCACCGTTTTTCATTTTCCATTTGGCAGGCCTTGTTGAAATTTTCAGATTTGCTAATATCAACCCTTTAAAAGATAAAAATATAAAATAAATTATGAAAATGAGAGGCCAATTTTGTTGCAGAAAAATTGTTAAATAAGTATGTATTATAGGCAAGACATAGAATCTGGATCTTATGAGCAATTCTTAATTTATGCCTAGAAATTCACTAGAAACTTTTTTTTTTGCGGTACGTGGGCCTCTCACTGTTGTGGCCTCTCCCATTGAGGAGCACAGGCTCCGGACCCGCAGGCTCAGCGGCCATGGCTCACGGGCCCAGCCGCTCCGGGGCATGTGGGATCTTCCCGGACCGGGGCACGAACCCACGTCCCCTGCATTGGCAGGCGGATTCCCAACCACTGCGCCACCAGGGAAGCCCTAGAAGCTATTTTTAACAGATCTCATATCTCTTCCTCTGATATATCTTTTCCTCAGCTCACCATTCTCAGCATGCACAGGTTTATATGCTATGTAATGATGGCATATTCTTAAGCACACACATAGTATCAAGTCACTTCAGCAGCCATTCGGCAGGATTCTCATTGGGAACAAGGTATTTCCTGCTTTATTAATATGATAGCTTTCATTAACATTCTACTTCTTTTGTGGAAAATGTTATCAATTTCATATTCTTTTTGCTAAGTGATAACATAAGTCTACATCTGGATGTTTCATATATATGCACACTTTTTTTTTTGCAGGATAATAAGCTATGACACAAATTTAATTGTTACAGTTGAGTTATAATAGATTCTGTGGAAAAATCCAATCTAGTTTTGGGAAGACTTTAAAAACTAGCATTCAAAAAAGTTTTTTTTTTTCACATTTTACTCCACATTATCTCCAGAAACAAATGACATCTACTGGAGTTAAAACTTCTGCTATAATTTAGATGAATTCTCATAATACGCATTCTACATATAACATGCTATATTTAGTTTGCATTTAAATTCTATATAAAAATGAGTTTCGCATATGAATATTATATTCATTTCATATCCTTAGTATTATATTGTTAAAATCAAACCTTTAATAAATTAAGAGCCTTGGGGTCATGACACAACAGAATACAGAAGTAGCCATGTCTCTGATCTGACCCCAGGCTTCTTTTAATCCATCACAGTCTTCCCGGTGATACTTTCTCTCTAAACAATTGAAAAGCATAGCTCTGTTATCAGGCCATATGCATGCAGGATGAAACTGTTGTTTTACTTTTTACTCTAGTTCAAATGGGTAATTTGACAATCTGAGAAATATACTGGTGTCTATCTGTCTAGAATCTACCTTTCTACTGACAGAGTTCTAACGGAATTATCTGTGATTAGTTTTCTCTGTTGCTTAAAACTGTATCTCTCAAGATGACCAGAATTATAATTTTTATCCCTTTATCAGGCTTTTAAATTTCTTTGCTTATATGCTAAATTCATCCTGACAGCAAACTTAGGTAAGACGATCTCTAGAGGTTATTTGATGGGAGAAAAGAAGGGTTGATAACCTTCAATCTGAAGGAAAAATAATTCGAAAAGCTTTGCAAGAGATGAGCTACAATTTATCAATGACACCACAGCGAAAGGATATAAGGACCACTGTAGATTCTCTTCTAAAGATATCAAACTCAATAGACTTCAATTTATATAGTCAAAAAGATGTTGAACTTCAACAGGAAAGACAGTGAAAATAACACAGAAACATTATTCTCCACTGTACTAAATCACAAGGTATCTGGATCTGTAATGTTGTATAATCTTATTGCTGAAACACAGCAAAGTATATAACATGGAAATTCCCAAGCAAAAACCATACTTCTTCAGATAAAGTGATTGATTTGAGAGGATAAGCTTTAAAGTTAGAAAAATTTTCTATTCAAAAAAGTTGAAAATTTAAGATATAAAACAAGTAAAGCAAAAGTCTTTTTGCCAGGATAAACAAAATGAGAGGTATCAAAGTAATCATTTCCCTTAAACTACAGTATCATAGGTCTGGGGAAAATCTGAAAATGGAAGGAAAGGAAGTTTAATAAAATGAAAAAATATTTCTTTACAGAACAAGCAGCTCACAGAGGTGACATGAGTTGAAAACCTAAGTCGGTTCAAGGAGACTTGAGAAAAACCCATGCGCAGAACTTCATTCAGCCACTGGGAACATTAACATGATGAGGGAAACACAAGCCACACACTTCTCCGTAAGTCGTGAAGTCTTGTTATTATAAACCTAGAGCCTTACAATGCAGGGACCATGAAACGTACAGTCACTCACTTTACCAAACAGCAGGACTGAGTGAGGCAATATAGAAGGTTCATTGATATAGTCATCAGATGAGACCATGCTTTTTTTGCGTCTATCACACTTCTGGTAAAAGGTTAAAGGATTCCTACCCTGTTGTCTTTAGCCCTCTTCCCTCCACCCACCCCCTCTCCCCACCAACGAAAAGATCAATTTTCTCTGCGCCGATAATGATAGGTCCCCAGGACAGGATAACAGGACACAGTGGGACTGAAGAAGTTATCACTCTGAATCTTTCATCTTATTGATGAAAACACAGAAAATTCTGAGAGATTGTGTCCACCCATAATTTAATAGTCTCTCAGTGGTAGAACTTGGACATGTATTCAAATCCATTTTTCTTCTACAGCCAAATAACATGGAGAATACCCGTTATAATCATGACTCTAGCAAAGCACTTAGAACTCAGTCTTAGATACGAGGCACTCAGAATTCACCAGCCTTGATGAACAATCTGTTTTGACAGATCTATTTGATATAGAAACATTCTTTTTCTCATGCTCTGTTATTTAAGCAAGATGATCATTCATGGGTATTTTTTAAATTCTAGAACATCTCTTTTCATCCTAAAAATTCCCATATAAATGAACTCCCTCTGCAGGATATCTTCAGAAAAGGTTGCCTTTAGCAGCTACTTCTTTTGGCTGGATCTATAGTTCTCATAATTAAATTTATACCTTATTTAACCATTCAGCTGAAATTTGGATATGGTTTCTTCTAGCCAATTTTCATGGAAAATTATGTTACAAGTTTTGCATGTAGGAGGCAGCCAATGACTGTTTTACTTCTATGAATTATTCAAAGTTTGGAGCTTCTAATTTTCATATTATTTACCACTTCTGATATTATATCACATATCTCATTGTTTGTTTATTATCCATTTCTTCCAGTAAAATTTAACCTTCATAAGGAGAAGAGATCTTTTCTTTTCTTTTTCTTTCTTTCCTTCCTTCCTTTCTTTTTCTTTCTTTCTTTCTTTCTTTTTCTTTCTTTTTCTTTCTTTTTCTTTCATTTTCTTTCTTCATTCTTTCTTTCTTTCTTCTTTTTTTAATTTTTGTTTCACTATTGCCCTGTACTGCCCTTAATCCATAGAAAGTACCCTACATATTTTCATTGACTGTATAAAGAAAAGACTAGAAGTATTATATCTACTTATGCTGCATTATATCTATACCATTTTTCAAAGTGAAATGTTCTGTGTTTCACTTGGGCCACCAGGATTTTTAGACGTTCAATATAAGTTACACACAGTGGGAAATTTGACTTCCAAAAGCTTCCTTATGAATTGTTCCCAAGAAATGTTCTATGAAGAAAACTCAATAAAGAACAGGTTCCTATGGGGAGATATTTAATTTAAATGGATACAGGTAGGATAATTTTATATTTAATATCAATCGCTATGTCATAATTGTTTTATTCAAAAAGACATTTACAGACTATATAAACCATCCCAAGATCACACTTTACTTCAGACTGAGAACGTATTTTATTTTAACGTTCACTTGAGAAGGGTTTTTTTTTATTATTAGAAATATTTGTAAGACATCAAATCTTGTTCCTAAGCACTTTTCGTACTGTCAGTACTTACAGTATTTGTAATCTTTAAAAAGTGTATCTATCTCAGATTCAGATACTGGTTTTTTTTTCCTGCCTTTTCCTCATTTTACAGTCTCTCCAGCCGTTTTGACAGTTAATCCAAACTGATCTTCTGAGATTGTGAATCATTAAATTTGTCACATATTTTCTAATTAGTAAGTGCTGAGATGGATATAATATCAGAGAGGTTTAAAATGATGAGCTAAATTGAGAAAATGTGATTTCTCAGCAAACCACAGTAGGATAGAAGGAAGAATACTTAAAATCTAAATTTTAACTATGACTTCAATAACAAGAGGAAAGGAAAACAAGGTTTTTACCAGCTACTTTGAGGTTTTCTACCTTACCATGATTTGCTGAAGATCTAAAACAAAATTTTTTTCTATGAAAAGAACAGAGAGAGATGGAGGATGTCCTACTGTTTAATTTCCTATTATTTTGCTTTACTATATAGTTTCAAAGATAAACTTAAATGAATTGATTTTAAAAAATGGTTAGTTATTTTATGTACAGAATTACTAATTCTGCAGAGTAATTTGTACTTTTAGAAGGTGTATCTGTTAAGAAAATTTAAAAGATTATTTACATATGGCTAATGAGACATGTTGAAAGGCTTCAGAAAACAAACATACTAAAAAAAAAAAACCCCAAAACCCAGAGAATCATTCACGGGACCTGAAATCATGAAAATCTGGAATCCTAAAACCTAAAGTTAACGTTTTGTAGGCTGCATTTGGGGGCAGGTCCACCGCAGTTTGTGAAGTATTTATTTAGCTTTGAGGATTAAGACTTGGAGCTACAATGGTCAGGACCTGTTTTAAACATTCCTATGTCCCCAACTTTAATGAATATTCTTTTCTGAGCAACAAAATTCCATGGCAGCAACACGTTTGGATTATATTTTCTATAGTATCACATTTACCCAGGACCCATGGTAATATCATCCACTCGACGATGGTTGGTGGTGGACCTTGCCTGTTCAAGTCTGACCTGTCGATGTGCTGAGAGGCAAGCAGCAGCAGGAACAAAAAAGTCAAATAGGATGCTGTGTGGCAGATGAACTTGATAAATGGCTTTCGGATGAACAGTCCAAGGGGGCTTTTGGGAGCTATAAGATAGCACACAGAGAAGACGGGAAAAAGAAGTCCTATTATGAAACACGTCACCATCTTCACGGCCCAGTGTCTTCTCCTCCAGCCGGGAAACTCATCGTACCAGCGAGATGCCAGCAGCTGTTGACAGTTGGGCTGAGCAACAAACTACAGGGAAAGGAAAGGAAAAGTGAGAGTCAGGGTTACACGCAGGGGCTCCAGCTCATCAACAGGCACACAGTGTTATCGTTCAAGTCACAAGTTCTGTTCAAACATAAAATAATTTTATGTTTACACCATCATAAAGTGCTTTAAGCCATTCTGTGAACAAAGCTCATTTGTTGAACATTTTATACCCACGGCAAAGTGCTGAGTGCTTAGCCAGACACAACAGGGGTCAAAATACTATGGCTGTACCTTAGGAAACAAAGATAGAGCTAAGGACTAAGAATATCCATAGGATGTATTGAAAACTGAACAGAGCTGTGTACAAAGATATACACATATATGTGCATATATAAGAATTGTGATATATATATATATTTATGACATGAAGTAAAAAATGGTACTAGTGGTTATTTCTTGGTTTAGTGGTTATTTTCTGGTTAAGACATTATACTTTTTCCCATTTTTATACTTGGTGTATTTTTAATATTTTCTATAATAATCACATCAGAAAAAGTAAATATATTTTTAGTAGGGTTGAGGCAATAAGAAAATCATAACTGAAAGCATATTACATTACCAGGATGTAAATCATCATAGCTGAATTTGGTGGAAATAAAGCAAATACCTTACCTAAGTATAATCAATTACCACATACAAAACATTTCACAAACATGACAACATTTTTATCCTGCCAACATGTTTGAGATGTAGCATAGATCTCACTCTACTTTAAGGATGAAGATGGGGGGCTTATATGAGGGCTATAAATTTATTCAAGAAGATTACATATCTAGTAAATGATGAAATGTATGGCTATCTGGTCCAAGATTCTTTTTTTTCTGTACATGATCGTTCTCATTGACACTGACAGCTAAGCATTATATAAATTCAGAGGGAGTTTTCTCTTCCAGATGGAATGGTCCAAAAATGCTTCCCAGTGGGTCTGCACTCTGAAAGGGGAGATTTGTATAAGCAGAGAAGAGAGGGGAAGGCAAGGCATGCAGGTGAGAAAGTGTAGAGTGTGTTTAAGGGATGCCCTGTGGACACTTCGGACTGTAGTAGAAGCTTTAGTCCCTTGTTAAGGGACTCAAGAAAGTTCTGTTGGCATCAAAAATAGACCCACCCTAGAAGCAAACTGAACACCTGGCCCTTTCATGGGACTCTCCCTGCCCCAATATTTCCTATTTTTCTTCTTCAGTCTTAGACTTTATGGATCTCCTTTAGGAGACCCTTACTTGACCCTTACTCTTTTCTGATGGGCACACAGAAAGTGGCTTGATGATCATAAACAAAAAGCTGTTTGAAAGTGAAAGGAAAGACAGGTGATTGATTAAAAGAGCAGTTCAATAGTTGAGGTGTGCAATCATATGGGCTGGATGTCAAATGAGTTCTCATGCAACTGTTTCTCTTCATTTTGTCTTAGATATTGTGTTCATCAAAAGATATAGTGGGCAAAGCCACATGTATAAATGGAATTAAATGTATAATAATAGGTTCAGCAAGTACAGCTAAAACAAGAAAAACTGCATTTCTTCAAGACTGGGATGATGGGGCTCTCCTATTTTGTAAGTAATTTATGAAAGTAAGCTTCAAGCTCCATAGTTAGTAAAGTTAAATTTTATAATCCAAAGAAGAGCTTTTCTTGACACGTTCCTTGCCTATTATTTTGGTCAGAGTCAAGTGTTTGAAAGTCACAATAGAGCTTTTGCTGATACATCTGTAGAGAACTGGGAAAGAGTGATACAGGTCATTAACAAGTTCTGTTCTCTTAGTTAGTTTCCCTCACGCCCGCCCAACACACACACATAATCCTTCACGTCAGCATTTTATACACAAAGCATAGTCTACCATCTTTTTGCTATTTTCTCATATAAAATATGTTCTACAGTTTTCTTCATTAGAATTTAGCACAAAGACCATAATAGAAGGGAATTAATGAAACCTATGAAAAATGCAAGATATAATGAACCGTTACTATAATCTCAGTAATTCTCACAGATTGAAGACACACTATAAGGGACTAAGCATGAACAACACATCTGACACATGCAGAAAAAAGTAAAAGGAAGGTGTGTACTTTGTTCAACACGGTCTGGGTGAATTCTAGGACTAACGTACTCTGCCCTTCTTAGCCCAAATCTCATTAGAGCATGAGACGCCCCAGGGCAATTGAGCAAATAACTTTATTGGGAGCACTTAAGGTTTGCTTGGAAAAATATTTCTGTTGCCTAATACACAAATATAGACCGTGTTAAATTACCTAGAAGAAGCAAATCATTTAATCCTCATAGAACACCTGCCATTGCCAAGCACTTGGTTAGCCTTAATTTTTACTAATTTTACTTTTTCTTAAAAGATCTTTTTCTTTAATTATTGGAAAGTATATATCTGTGCTTAGTAAACGAACAGTGTGCACAATTTTTTACCAAACACAGACACAGTGAGGTTTACGTAGAGGTAAAGAAGAGAGGCAGAATACTATAAGAGCAGGAGTGGGGGAGTGGGTGTGTTTAATACACAAGTTTCCCCAAATGTAGATATTATTTGGCTACAAATTTGTCCTAATCTTAGGATTGAAACAACCGCAAACGTATTCCTAAGAATCACTATAGATCTAAATATTCTCACAATGGTTTTACATCCTTCTTCTTCTACACCTGTTTGCTGCATGTCTACACCAGCATTCTCCAAATTGTAGCCCATTCATTAATAAATATTTCCATGAAAAAAACAGTTACCAAGTTAAAGATTAAAAAAATTAAAATTTTATATTACAAAAATTTTCACGGTGTTTAACTGTTAAAGTAGATTAAAACACTTCATTTCTCTCACGTCTCCCTTGCTTCCTTCTTTCCTCCTGTTCTTTGCTTCCTTCCTAGATGCTTCCTTCTTTGTACTTTGTTTTTTCTTTGTCCCTCCTCTTCCTGTCTTTCTTTCCTTCTCCCTGCCTCCTCGTCTCTTGGTTTCCTTGGATTATTTATAGAGACTACTCAGCTGTACGCCAACCTCCTTTGAAGGACCCCCTCAGAGGGGGCCACCCTATCTCTGTGACACTTGCCATTGGTCCATTCCAGCAAAGCCCTCTTCAGGTGGGCCCTCACATTGCCTGCTGGGAGCCTAGAGGTCGCGCCTCCTCTGACCCATCTTTCTACTGCACAGGGAGTCACGGGACCCACCATCTTCTATACCATCCCAGGACTGCGGGAGGTGGGGTTTCTTTGAAACACACCATGTTACAGCCCCTTCTCTCTCTGCAGTTGTTGGCCGATTCCTAAACAATTCCTGACATCACATTAAAATTCATATTAAAACATTATAAACATTCAAATTCACATGTGTGCCATGAAACTAGAAAGGACACTCTAAAAAAAGAAAGATTTCCTCTCTTTCAATAACCTTTAAAACATTTTTAAAAACCTAATCTCATGATTATTTATGAAACTGTTAGTCATGGAATTTTAAATACTGAAGAAACTGTGAAGATTACTGAATCTAATCTCATTTTTACAAATAAAGTGAATTCCAGTACCAATGATTTAAAAACAACTACTCAAAGTACTGAAACACCCCAAACCTAAAGAAAACAAAAAATGATGAAGAGAAAGGAGATAAAGCTGAAAAGTGAAAACAAACAAACAAAAAACAAACCCAAACAACCAAGAAACCTCACTGCTACGTGGTGAGGAATTAAAATATTAATTGGATATGGACAAAATAAGATGAGAATTCAAAAATTAATGGAGCTCTGATAATTAACATAACTATGGATTAGATTTCCTATTTGATTTTTCTTCATCTTTTTAGTTTTTCAATATATTTTTCTAGCTTAAAATTTTGTATCCAAGGTTCAGACTGTGGCCATGTTCTCTAAACGAGCAGAATCTAGATTCTGGAAACAACCAACCTGGCACCTTAGTGCATCTTGACTAAGTCAGATAGTTACATGGGAGTTTCTATTGGCTGTTGGACGATGATAAAGAGAGTTGAAACTTTTGGGTTGAATGAATTAAAGTGATCTAGGTAAGGGCTTAAAAAGGACTGCAGGTTCATATACATGCCAGCTTCCCCTGGCTCTTACTATTTACTCCTTAGAATTTCAAAAATAATCTATTTCCTTTGGGGTTTTATTTCCTCTGCCCAAGAATGTTTTTTGACAACTCATTTTGTAATGTGGATAACAAGGCTTAAGAATGATTTGTAGGCAGAAGAGCTTCAGGGAATTACTTTGTCCATAACTGAAAACCCTTTTTTCTTCTACTTCTACCCTTAAATCCCTTCATAGCTGCCAATGGCCTTTAACTGCCTGGGCCTTTCTCTGTTTCCTAGAGATAGCTCTGGTTGTGTTCCTAATTAAAACAATTCTCCAGTCTCCTTGAGCATGGTCATACTGCATAACTAATCACTCACCTACTTCATTATTCAAAGCATCATTTTCATCCGGTGCTCCTTAGTTTGATTAAGACAATAGAATTGTGCACCATCTGTGAGTGGGGCATTGGCTAGATAAGCGGGGAGGGGACCGAGATCTGTAAGAATCAGATATATCTGTCTTCTAGGATCTCAAAATCTGTGGCAGACTGATAATGTGACTGGGTAAATTAAATACAGAGCATTACGTGACTTGTTAGAAAAGAGGTAGAATGTGTAGGAGAACTTATGCCCAATATGAAATAATTAGGGAAGATTGAAGAAAGGAAGCAGAATTTTCTAGTTAAGCCTAAGATAACAAGTAGAATTTTGACAGGCACAGCTTGGTAGGTGGATGTGTTTTAATTCAGATTTGGAGAATATCATGTTAAAAACTTGAGGATGGATATAAGCAAGTTCAGACGAGCAATCCCTTGTTCTAGAATGTTACATTCAATGGTGAATATGCTAGAGATTCAGTATAAAGGGATACTGCGGCCATATATCAGGATACAGATCAAAATGTTTATTGAGGCAATTTCTCAAGTCTACGTCCTTGCTGCTCAGTGGAGGCCGAGGCTGGCAATACCGAG